TCCAGTGCTTCAAATACATTGTTAGCGATCCCCCACGCCCTCTAACCGAAGAAGACATCTGGTTCCAGATTGGCCATGTTCACGAGCAACAGAAAGACGTAAGTCATGCTTCCACCCACTCTTTATTCTTACCTTGTACTCATGAAATCCTTAGTTTGAGTCTGCTCAATCCGCATACCAGCGTGTCCTTGAGCGGGATCCTAACCACGCCAAAGTTCTCCAGCAACTTGGATGGCTCTACCACCAGCAGAGTAATGCCTTCCAAAGCCAGGAAAAGGCCATCCAGTTTTTGGAAAAGTCTGTCAATGCTGGTAAGCACACTTTTAATCCCCCATCAAAGTTGTATGCATTAAAACTAATCAATTTTTTCCCTAGATAACAATGACGCTCAAAGCTGGTATCTCCTCGGCCGTTGCTACATGTCCATGGCGAAATACCCCAAGGCTTATGAAGCCTATCAGCAAGCTGTCTATCGCGATGGCCGCAACCCTACTTTCTGGTGCTCGATTGGTGTTCTTTACTACCAGATCAACCAATACCGCGATGCTCTCGATGCTTACTCTCGTGCGATCCGCCTGAATCCTTACATTTCGGAGGTTTGGTATGACCTGGGCACTTTGTATGAATCATGCAACAACCAGATTGCCGATGCCCTGGATGCCTACGGACGCGCCGCGGATCTTGATCCGAGCAACGTTCACATCAAGGCTCGTCTGCAGCTACTCCAAAGTCAGTTGAATGCTGGCACAGCTGGACAGCAGCCACCCACTGCTCCCGCGCCTCAGCCGCAGGATGTTCATCCTCAGGCTTATCAGGCACCTGGCGTTGGTGCACCTCCAGCTCCTCAGTGGGGTGCCCCAGCCCCCATCGGTCCCCCTCCACAAGCTCCTGCTCCCCCGAGGCAGATTCCTGACTGGAACCGTGGTATCAACGAGCTTCAGTCTCAGAGCCAAGCTCCCCCACCTAACGGACTTGATCAGCGTGATGCCCGTATCCCCGGTGCTCCCGCTCAAAGTCCTCGACAGGAGCCTGGCCGGGCGTTCCCGGATCCCCGCGGCGCGCCTCGCTCACCAAAAATGGGTGATCCCAATGCCTACCCGCCGCCTCACACCCTACCTCAGCTTGGAAATGCTCCTGGTCCAGGCCACGAGCGCGCTCCTAGTGGCGGCAATGCCTTTGGTGCCCCACGAGGTGCTTTGCCGAGTGGTCTGCCCGTCGCTCCTCCTGGCCCCCCTGGACCTCCTGGGCCCAATGGAGGTCCTCCTCCCCCTCCTTATCAGAATCGTCCTTTCAGTCCTGCTCCTGAAATCCGCCCTATTCGCGATGAGCGTCCCTCTTCGCCAGGCTCAGGATACCCTCTCCAACAGTTCCACCCTGGTCCTACACTCCCCCCACAAGTTCCAGGTGGTAACTCCATCGCCTCCGGTGCTCCGGCCCCTGCTTCGGCTGCTACTGCTGCTGAGGCTGCCGCCCGTGATCGCGAAGATCGCCCCACATCTGCAATGAAGCGCGGCCGCGAATGGGAGGCCGATGCTGGTCCAGTCAAGAAGCATGCGAATGAAGAGAGCCGCGCTCGTCTGGATGACCAGAGCAACCGCCGCCCGAGCCCACCTGCTCGTTTGCCTTCTCCTGGTGAGATGCAACGCCGAAGCTCCTCAGAGGCCCGCCGCGAGGACGCCCGTCGTGCCAATGAGAACTACCACCCCTCAGAGGCTGCTCACCATCCTCCTACTCTGCCTTCGATCCAAGACATGCCTCCCCGCCCTTCTGCTGGCCCCAGTCTCCCCCCGATGGCCGAGGCCTCCGCACCCGCATCCAACGCTCCCCCCTCTGGGCCTCCTCCCTCCGTCAACACCCCGGTCAAGGAAGAAGTTCCTCGCCCTGAGGCTCCCCCTGCTCACGAGCCCCCGGCGCGCAAGATGGATGTCGATGAAGACTACGATGACGAAGTTGAGGAAGAGAAGAAGGCTGCTGCTGCTTCCAAGGGCAGCCCCAACGGCAGCGCTGCTGGCAACCCCGCTAATGGCGCTGGCAATGCCCGTGCCAGTACTCCATCGAAGGCCGAGCCCACAGCGTAAAAAGTCTTTCCTCTCCCGACCAGACAAATGTGGTCTGGTTAAACCGGGCAAAGCCCAAATCTCCCACTTCCTTGCTCCTCCCTGTCCTTCTTATCTTTCAGTGTGTGATGTACGGTATGAATGTGCGAGTTACGATGACTACCTAGTTTCAAGCGCGTGCGCTGAAAATTTGTCATGTCTGTTCGTTCTCTTCTTTTATGATTTCTTAGTCTCCTTTCACTGTGAATTTTTTTTTTATGGTGCATTAGGCATCCTTGAAGCAAACCATTTGTTTGATACTCTGGAATTTGGTAGAGTAAATTTATAACATCTCCTATTCTTTATTTTTTTTTTCATCAAGTTATATTATTGTCCTAGTTAGATCTCCAAGTATGTAGTATTACTCCGTAATGTATTTCGGTCTACATTTTATTCCAGCCCACAATGTGGATGTCCTAAAACCATATTGCTGGCCGTTTGCCTTGGCAGCAGGAAGACCCATAAAAATCATCTCAGGGCCCGGAAAATCTGGACGGCACGTGACAAGACCAGGGCTGGGTTAGATAATTTGGGTTATTGTGGGGTGCCTCAGGCTCTTACCCGCCAAGCGTCTCGCTTAGGTTAGCCCACACACCAAGCGTGCAAAATCAACTTCGACATTTCCAGATCGTCCTCCCACCACCTCGACGACTAACGATAACAGGGTCAAGATGTAAGTCTATCCCGATTGAAGATTCATATACAATCGCCATTGAATACAATTGCTGACCTGCTTTCGCTATTCAGGAGTCACCGGAAGTTCGAAGCGCCTCGTCACGGTTCGTGATCACCTTTTTTCCTCGATATCGAAATTTCGAAATACGGCCTCTGTGTGTGTACAGTATACTGATTATATCTCCAGGCTCCCTTGCCTACCTCCCGCGCAAGCGCGCTGCCCGTCACCGTGGTAAGGTCAAGAGGTCAGTACTTTCTGAATGAGTTCGTGATTTGTGGATTTGTGTGCTGAGACTTTTTTTTGCGACAGCTTCCCTAAGGATGATGCCAAGAAGCCCGTCCACCTTACTGCCTCCATGGGCTACAAGGCTGGTATGACCACCATCGTCCGTGACCTTGACCGTCCTGGTGCCAAGATGCACAAGAAGGAGATTGTCGAGGCCGTCACCGTCATCGAGACCCCTCCTGTACGTTTTATCCCCGTTGTGTGCGAAAGTGAAGGAAGAAGAAAAAGAAAAAATCGACCAGAACCTAACATAATTTTTTTCTGTTTTCTAGCTCGTTGCCGTTGGTGTCGTCGGTTACATCGAGACTCCCCGTGGTCTCCGCTCTCTCACCACCGTCTGGGCTGAGCACCTGAGCGATGAGGTCAAGCGTCGCTTCTACAAGAACTGGTACAAGTCCAAGAAGAAGGCCTTCACCAAGTACGCCAAGTCCCACGCCGAGAGCTCCGGTGCCTCCATCACCCGCGAGCTTGAGCGCATCCAGAAGTACTGCACTGTCGTCCGTGTGCTCGCCCACACCCAGATCCGCCAGACTCCTATCAAGCAGAAGAAGGCCCACCTTATGGAGATCCAGGTCAACGGTGGCTCCGTCTCCGACAAGGTCGACTTCGCCCGCAACCTCTTCGAGAAGACCATCGACATCGACTCCATCTTCGAGAAGGACGAGATGATTGATGTCATCGCCGTCACCAAGGGTCACGGTTTCTCCGGTGTCACCTCCCGTTGGGGTACCACCAAGCTGCCCCGCAAGACTCACAAGGGTCTGCGTAAGGTCGCCTGTATTGGTGCTTGGCACCCTAACCACGTCCAGTGGACTGTTGCCCGTGCCGGTCAGGACGGATACCACCACCGTACCTCTTGCAACCACAAGATCTTCCGCATCGGAAAGGGTACCGATGAGGGTAACGCCTCCACCGACTTCGACATCTCCAAGAAGCAGATCACCCCGTATGTTCCCCCCTGATATTTTGGCTCTGTGTTTGATCTTAGTTCTAACGTTTCTCTAGCATGGGTGGTTTCGTCCACTACGGTGAGGTCAAGAACGACTTCGTCATGGTCAAGGGCTCCGTTCCCGGTGTCAAGAAGCGTGTTATGACTCTGCGCAAGACTCTGTACCCCCAGACTTCCCGCAGGGCCACCGAGAAGGTCGAGCTCAAGTGGATCGATACCTCCTCCAAGTTCGGTCACGGTGCTTTCCAGACCTTCGAGGAGAAGAAGGCCTTCATGGGTACCCTCAAGAAGGACCTTGTGGAGACTGTTTAAGATGTTTAAGCCTATGGTTGGTGGTAGTGCAACGTTTCATATTCAATAAAAAAGCGAATATCCTTCACGATTTACATGTAGCTGTATATTATCTGTAAATTTATAAATATATCTTAGGTGTATCAGGAAGAAATTCCTCCAACAATATATATCCATCTCTTTCTCTCAACTCGTCTCTATAATAATCCAATATATTTCCCATTACTCTTGTTGAAGATATATATATTTGGTTCGGGTGTTTATATATGCACCCGGAATGCTAAGCTACTTTTCTTCCCTTTCCTAATTACTTTCAATTTCTCCATATATCTGCTTACGTTCTCTAAAAACCCCTGAGTCTCTTTGTTCGTCTAAATATACCATAGTCCAATCTGACAGGCCGGTGATGAACAAAATGCGCCAACCTAAGGTCCATTGCGTCATCCCACACTTTTCCCTGCCAGCTTCAGCAAGAAAGCGGGCTTTGCCATTTTCATCCTACACTCTACGTTCAGCCTTCCAAATCGAACATCCCCAACCTCAATACCGTCTCCTACACTGTCTACACCACAAAACGAGCCCAAGAACCCACATCCCAAACACAGAGCACCAAACCCGCCTCTTCCCCGCAACCTCAAGACCGCAACCACAAACCAGCTCTCCCCTCCCCATCCAGTCCCCCTTCTCAACCTCAACACAAACCATGTCCTCCGACGACGCCTACATGTCCTTCCTGGACAAAGCTAACGCAGATGTGAGCGGAAGCGCCCCGCAGCAAGGAGCGGGCACTGTCAAAACCAAGACCGTGCACAGCTCCCTGTCAGTCCCAAAGCCGCTGCAGTCCGTCGACGCATACTACATCTCCGATACAGACGAACCCTTCGAGCCTGTGGCATTGAAGTGGGATGGCGCTGCCAAGGGCGCGCTGCCTAGTGCTGGTATGTCCTGACCCTGTGGCGATTCCATTTCGCATCCTTCAAGGACTTGCTCCCTTGAAACCCCAAAGACATAATATCCTAGAACCGCCCTGCTAACTACCCCTCCCTCACCGCAGAACAGCTCTCCTCCCTGATCTCCCCAGATACCGACCTGTCCCAGTCCATCTCCATTCTATCCCCATCCTCCTTCGACCCGAAGAATCAATACAGTGCCGCCCTGGATGCTGTCCGCGCCGCGGCTGTCGAGAAGGATTCTGGTGCCGATCAGTCGGCTGTTGAGGTGAAGGTTTACCGTGTCGAACAAACTAGTACCAAGATCGAGTACTGGGTTCTGGCATTACATGCGCCTGAGAGCCGTATTGTCGGTCTGCGCGTTAAGGCTGTTGAGTCGTAGGTGTTTAGGCTGTTTATATCCAATGCAGAAGTCTTGGGAGGTAGACTAGGACATAATTTTTCATTTTGCTATTTGATGTGTAATTGGTTATTCTACGAGAATACGATATTGATATTCCATGAGAAAGCATAGAGGTATAGCAGCACAGTTTCTCGCTGTCTTGTTCGTTGATATTGATAGTATTGGTACGGAATGGATAATCAGAGGTTTCATCTTACTTTGCCCTTGGTGCAAGGTGGTCCTGACAGCTTCTTGTTCGGGATTTGCATTCTTAAAGCCTGATGGTTGGGTTTGGCAGGACGCGTGTCGATGGCTGTGCAAAATAGGTTGAATTGGTCAATTAGCCTTGAACGGAAGAAAGCTATGGCCAGTAATTGATTCTCTGATGATTATGCTCGTAGCTGTATGTTTGAAGAAATATCCACATCTCTCTATCTTGCACTTGCACTGGTGGACCGGGTCTCGGACCATGTCTCTAATCCTCTCCACTGATTCGCTCTTCGCTTCAACAACTCCCCGTGAATCTATACAGAGTTACATGTAGCTGCTATTATTACTGCATCTGAATCTCTCCAGGTTCATGACCATGTCGATCCCCGAATTCCGGCCAGCATTCTGGGCGGGCCATTCCTCGGGGCCCTGGGAAGCAACGGGAATGCCGCACCCTAGAATAGCCCTACCCAGGGTGTGAGCGCCAGGATGGAGCTTCAAAACCACCAATCTACTTCAATTAATAGAGCCATACAGTCAACAATATGCAAAACACGACTCGAGGTCATTGAATCGAGTATTGAACAATACTTTACTATCATCCACAGTCCATCCCAAAGGCTCTGGGGAAGAGAGAGGCATAAACATACCACTGGTTGCCCCCTTGGATCTCTATCATTCCTGGCTCCTCGTGAACCTAAACAAGACCCCTCGGGCCATCTAGGCTCTTCTTTTCTTCTGTGGTTTTGGCCTTTTTTCTCCGTTTAGACTCTGTTTGTCTCTTTTATCGTGTCGCCGACGGACGTTCGATGCTATCCGACCTGCCGTGTCCGTTCTTTCGCTAAACCATCGCACTCATCAACTGTGCATTACACCGACCTAGGTCCTCAGTCTTTACCGTTGAGATACATAGCAAAATCGTTGCGTGACGAGCCGGAAGAAAGAAAGAAGAAAAAGAACACCTCATCGTCATACGAAACTGGCCCACGGAGTCCACCAACGACTGATGCGAAAGGGCCTTTCTAGCGGTACCAATCGAAGGAAGAGAGTAAGGTCTCAGCATTGCAGAGCAAATAAGCGTGTCGAATTATCCAGGAACTCGAAAAAAAATGTCGGACCATAGCCCTGATAGCTCGGAAGGAAAGACGCCTCACATCCGACTCAACTCGGGGCGGCAGGATCCTTTCCTTCAGACAAATGGAGGCTACGCTCCTCTTACATCGCGGACATTTCCTCGGCCCTTGACACCACAGGGCCCGGAAACGCCTACGGCAGTGGGCGCTCGAGGGATGGCAGTGTCACCATACGGCGCATCAAATGTCCCCGAGTCCTCGGAATTCTTGCTGCCTCCGAAGTTGAGGCCTACACAGGGACAGGGTGTGAGCGAGACTGATCGGCCCCGGTCTCCGGACCGGTGGTCTGCGGCTCGCTCCAGTATCAGCTCCATCAGTCGTGAGAGCACTTTCCCCTTGGATCCCTTCCATGACTCGAGGGCACCTTCGCACGCTGGCAGTGAGGAGTATGATGTCAACACGCAGACTGTGTCAGGGAAGTTCAATATCATGCCCACTGATGGGTTGTTGTTATTCCCCGAGGATGTGGAGAAGGATGACTACTTGCATAACCCGGACCCGGCAGACAAGGATCGAGATTGTGATATCTGGAATCGACGTGGTATTATGAATCTCGGTGGTCTGGCAGTTTTCACAGTTGGTCTTCTGGTGCTATTCATTGGTTACCCACTCATGTAAGATTGGCTTATTTGACTGTCTCTCCGCTCGGCTAACTAGTAATTGCAGCACTTGGTTGGCGGGTTTTGGGAAACATCACGATGGTCTATGCCACCCAGAAGACACGCTTTGTTTGGATGTTGGGGAGCGACCATTGTTGGAAAACCTCCGCATGGGTTTGATTGACCCAGATACACCAAAGGAGGCACACACAAAGAAAAATGTCAATGGAAAGGAGATGAAGCTAGTTGTAAGTTGTTTGATAGGTCACTAGCAGCGACAAGTGGCTAACTTTGCATTGAAGTTCTCCGACGAATTTAACATGCCTGGTCGGACGTTCTTCGAGGACGATGACCCGTTCTTCCAAGCAGTCGATCTATGGTACGGAGTAACACAGGACAAAGAGGTTAGTACAAATTGGGTCAAATCACCGCTCAGACGCTGACTCTATTTAGTGGTATGACCCTGATGCAGTAACCACGGCAGAAGGCACCCTTCAGCTTCGATTTGATCACTTCGAAAACCACGGCCTCGAATACCGATCTGGAATGGTACAGAGCTGGAACAAGCTCTGCTTCAAGGGGGGCCGTCTCGAAGCTAGTATGTCTCTCCCGGGTGACGGACACATCCAAGGTTTTTGGCCTGGTTTCTGGGCAATGGGTAACCTGGCTCGTCCTGGCTATGCTGCTACCACTGATGGCATGTGGCCATACAGCTACCATGATGGCTGCGATGCAGGAATCACCCCTAACCAGAGTTCTCCTGATGGTATCAATTGGCTGCCTGGTATGCGGTTACCCGGATGTGCCTGTCCTGGCTCTGACCACCCGACTCCTGGTACTGCACGCAGTGCCCCTGAGATCGATGTGATTGAAGGTAGCACTGCTCCACTCTATGGCGACAGCGGTCCCTTCGTCGGTAGTGCGTCGCAGAGTTTGCAGACTGCACCATTCGACCTGTGGTACCTGCCCGACTATGGTGAGTATCTTTCAATATTTTTTTCGCTCTGCTCAACATCCACTAACCAAAGAAACTCCAGACTTCGCCGCCGTTTACGACCCACGCGTCACACAAATTAACGCCTACCGAGGCGGCATCTACCAACAAGCCATGTCAGGCCTCACCAACCTAAACCACCGCTGGTACAACGGCACCGAATATCAAACCTACTCCTTTGAGTACACACCGGGTGCAGAAGGCGAGGTGACCTGGTTCATCGGTGCCGAAAAGACCTGGACATTAGACGGCCGCGCCATCGGACCTAACGGCAATGTCGGGCAACGCATGATCCCACTCGAGCCCATGGCACTGATTATGAATATGGGTATGGCCGATAACTTCGCGCCGCAGAACAAGAGCATCATTGATTATATGCCTGCTATCCTGCGCTTCGACTACGTCCGCATCTACCAGGACCCCGATGATGAAAGCGTTACTTGTGACCCACCGGGTTATGAGACGACTAAGTATATTGAGAAACATCGCAAGGCGTACGATAATGCGAACTTTACGACTTGGTATGTCTCTATCCCTGATTTTGTCTTCTTCTTTGGGCTTTACTAACGATTGTACTTTCAGGGACGACGCTGGGTACAATTGGCCCAAAAATTCTTACATGCATGACTGTCCGGCTAATTAAACACTATAATTCTATTTCTCTGTTGATCTCCTAAACTGTTAGTCGTTTTAGCGGCATTGTTTTCTGGCGTTGTTGGGTCTTTCGCATTTCTCGCCATTCATCATTGGTTCAATACGACCGTTCGGTTCTTTTCACTTCTTTTCACTCTTCCCTTGTAGAGACCATCTCATATTTTACCTAAATGGCACTGCTCTCAAAGGATTGGTATATCTCCAACAGTACTCAGGACCAACTTTGGGATTGCAACGCAATAATACACCCGATATCCACTAAGCCTAATCAGGGGGTTCAACACCAGTGCTTGACCAAATTGCCATTGTGCGCTATCACCGCCTGCTCGATCTGGCCACAGTACAGGGACCCACGGCAAGAGGGTACGAGGTTACTCGTCAACAAGTTGAAGCATCCATATCTTCACTTCTATCCGAAATCTGAACCCATATGTTTGAACCTCCTTATTAAGGTGAAAATCCATCGCTGTCAAGCCCTCTCCCAGAGCTGACCAGTCTCTCCTGCGCTTACCGGCAATATCTCTTTCTCATCCACTGACACTGGCTATAGATCAATCCCGGGGCCATACAATAAGCTATACATGAAATTCTCTGTCAATCATAGACGTGAAGCAAAGCCTACCACAGAGGCATCTCATTTCTTCCATTCTCACTAGTCATTGATTGCACCTGCTATCCAATCTCCGACTCCGCACCACTCAAGACCTGTCTCGGTCTGCTCTTCACTGACTTATACCCCATCCATCTCATTACCTTCAACATGTCTGGCCAAAACATACATGTCATTTCAGACACGGAATCTGAATCCGAATCTGATGGCGGCATGCAACTCGATGACCTAGACCGCGTCGACGGTATACCAATGTACGATAACAGCGAATTTCCCAACGTGGATGGTAGACCAATGCCCCGCCCTCTATCAGAAGAAGAAGAAGATGATGATGATGTTTGGGGCGTAAATACTTCAAATGGATCAGACACGGGTATGTATCCCTCTTCCCTTGTTGTCAAGTCCAACTACGAACCATCTCTATCTTGCTCGAACCTCGGGAATCCTTGCTTCTGTGCACAAATGACACCCAGCACAAAAAAGCCCCCAGTCTAGTCTACATACTAACAACCCAAAAAGGAAGATTCAACGGCCGTGCCCAAAACCCCCTCACAGCATCATACAACCGCGCCGGCCCAAACGGCATAACAGAGCCCCAAACCGCCTTTGAAAAAGACGCTCGCACGCGCTCACATCTCCGCGACGAAAAACACGCCGCCTTGGCTATCCTCATGGACAGCGAGTTATTAGTTACATATGCGCTTGCCTCGCGAGAAGTACGTTACTACCCCTAACCTTGAATCAAACCCCAGCCACAATTACAATTACAATTAAACACCACTAACACAACTAAGACAATCCCCCAAACCTGCCGGCGCTTCCTGGCAAAATATCTCGCGCCCAACGACCCAGAAAAAGCAGAAGAACTCTACGACCCGCGGTTCTATATCGCGCCTGACGGAAAGGGCGGGGAAGGGTCGCTTATTCGTGGTCGGTATCGGGAGGTTATTGGGGATATTAATGATCATAACTGGCATAAGCCGGCGCATTTGAGGGCGTTAGATGCGAAGAAGGCTAAGGGTGGTGGTTCGCGCGCTGTTGGGGCTTCGGGGTCCTCTTCTGGTGCGAATTCGCCGAGGGGGGTTTCCGAGGGAGGAGGAGCTTCGTTGGTGGGGAGGAGTTCGGGTCGGGGTCCGGGTCGGAGTCAGGTTCGGAGAGTGGAGGATGAGGATGAGGATCTATGAGTTATGAATTTGATGCGAGTTGTTCTTAGCGTGCTACTTCTTGCATGGTTAATCTTCCAGGCTATTTGAAAAATCGAATCTTATTTTAGTGGAATGCAGCATGCTTGACTACAGGCTATTCACTACCGAAGACGGACATGATACTATAATGTTTGTATTCGCTAAAACAGATTAAAAAGAGAGTACTATACAGAAAAATTCAAACCAACGACAGCACCACTAGCCCAGAGAGGAAGAGGAAGAGAACAAAAGAAAGAGAAAAGGGGTATCATCGAGAGGATCCAGAAAAGAAAATAGCGTCTCTGGTGGGTTTTTATGTTCGTTCTCTCCCTCTTTTTCATCTCTGGGATATTACCCGAGAGTCTCAGGCAATGCGGTGGCACTGTAGTCGGACTTGCGAGCTCATCTTCGCATTCTTGGTGGAGCAGCTGATCGCAGATGCAACAGCCATCCAGATCAGGGGAACAGATTAAACAAGCAAGAGACAAGACGAGAGATATAGAGGAGCCAATCAGAAGACAGAGAGTAGCCAGGACCAAAGCCAAGGCTAAGCCAAGGCCCGTCTTACATCTCTTCCTCCTCTATCCTCCGCTTCTCCGAGTGAAACATACTTTCCATGTCTCCTACTTGCTTACGCTCCGAGACCTCTCGGCTGAGCATCCGAGCGTAGTGAGCCTGGGCATTCATCAGTGTCAGTCCTCGAGACGGCATGGGTTTGTATTCCGGGTCATTATAAATTGGGTGGTGCAGGCGGTGCGAAGTAGTGATCCGGATCCGACCGTCTCTCATGACGGGTGATTGTCATTGCAGGGGCTCCGAGCTTGAAGAGAGACGGTTGAGATGGAGGTAGACGTCGGTTCCGTAGCTGTGGAGATCAATTAGTAAGGGTTTTATGAAAGATAGTGAAAGCAGAGAAACAACATACCCCTCCATACTGATCAACTTCAAATCACCGCCGAAGTACCGTGCGTACAGTCGGCTTATTGGTAGACCATATCCAAATCCAGCCATTGGCGCTTTGAAGTCGTTCTTGTCGAAATCAGGGTCCAGGTTGGGCGTTTGCTCCACGGTCGTGTACATGTAGGTCCATACGAGAGGGATCGATGAACGGGGGATACCACCGCCCTCATCGGAGATCTTGATTGTGATGTCCTCTTTGCCCTCGGCAACAATGACCTTGGTCACGGGGAATTCATCCTTATCGGCACCATGTTGTTCGACGACCGCTCGAAGCGAGTTCTTGAGGGTCTCGAAGAGCATGTGCGACAGGTGTCCGGGAACATACATGAAGTTCAAGTCCTCCTTGCAGACCAGCTGCACCTTGGGCGACTCAAAAAGACCGTAGTAGTCCTCGCAGACGAAGCGGGCGTTTTCAATGGCCTCGAGCGCGATATCGCGAACATTGGTCTTGGTACAAATTATTCCGACATAGTTGGGGTGTTTGACGTGCGTTTGTTCCGTGAGTGCGATGTGTTGGCCGATGAGCATTCGTATACCAATTCTTGACATGTAAAACCGGTCGAGGAAGGACTGAATCGTGGAGTCGATCTGCATGCGCTGTCGCGCACGTTTCCATTCTAGGATGCCTTGCGCGACGGTGGTCACGACTCCATCGTGGCGTCGCTTGATCTGTTGGAGGGTCTTGGCGAATCGTTGGTTGTAGTCGTTGAGTTCCGGAGGCCAGTCCCCGCGGTCGTCGGCGGGGAAAAAGTACCGTCGGCCTGCCGCGGCCTGCGCTTTTCCAACACCATTTCCATTGGCTACGGTCACAGATGACCGGTACTGGCCTTCACGCACGCTGGGGTTTTGAGTTGTTTCGGAGAGGATTTTTGAAGGGCCGCCGTTCATCCGACCTGGTCGCAATAGGCGTGCTTTCACTTCTTGAGTCAGAGTGGGGCGAGGAAGAGCAATGATTTCCTGGGATTCGGGTTAGTGTGTGGATTTCGAAATTAATTGTCAATGGGTGAGTCACATACCTCAAATGACTGCGCATACCAGTCCTGGACTTTTTTGATCGATGGCATCTCACTGAGTCCATCTGGCAGCTCACCCAGATCCTGCACGCGATGTGCGAGACGAATCGGGAGCTCCTCAGAGAGAAATTGAGAAGCGCGGAATAGGGTACCTAGATGGGAATTAGATATTTACAGGTGGATAGTGCTAGATCAGTTCATCGTTCTTACCTGTTGAGGGACGGTCACCAAATTGGACCATCTGCCTCAGTGAGACACCGGTTGCGGGGAAGCTGGCATAGTGTCTGATGGTTTCCATCAACCTCTCTGAAGGCTTCCACATGGTGGGTGTATGTTGGCCGAATGGCCTTGTAAGAGATGTGTGTTCTAGAAAGTGTGTTATGTGGATAGAAGTGTCGAGGAGGAAGTGTGAGTAATGCGAGTCATCGGAACGTTTTCACTGCCGAGGTCAAGCGGTCCCCGGGTTTTCTCCGCTTGCGCTCTCCGGGGACCGGAGGAAGATCACACGATTGGAATTAAGCACCGTATGATTTACAGAGCTATTGTTTAGAGTCGATTTCCTTTTTGTTTATTTCTCTTACTACACAAATTATATCAATGAAGAGTGTGATATTAAGCCCTAATGTACTAGGTCGATAACTCCGTTCACCCGTAACGTCCACCTGGGCAAAGTTGAACTATGACATAATTATGTAGCCTGAGGCACATGAGTCACATGCGAGATATCAGGTGGATGTTGGGGATCTACATGTGAAGCCAATCTTGGAAGTACATACCCGGCACATTTCTTGGGTCTTCTTTCTCGTTTAGCAGAGCTACTGCCTTGGCGACCTGAAAGTAGATCCCGTGTCCGCGATTAATGTTGGACTGAAGTATATCAACCCAGGGACAACTGATGAGTCATTGTCACGCAAGAAGAGTAGAATGAGAACAATAGGAGAATTTAGGCTAATCATATGTATAACATAGTGCACTAGACTCTGTGCTTGATATAGCCCGGTAGTACAACATATATACTATGCGATGTCTATATAGCAATATATACCGTATTTCCCTCTTGAATGACTGATTGTCTTTATATTTTTATATTTTTTTACATGGATATAGATTATATACCTTGAATTTGCAGATCAGATACGACTGCTTCGTACATATATGTACGCAACTATGCACCATATGACTCAGTCCAGGACCGTGCATGCACAATCTACCATTCGGTACTTTTGTTAATTTCCCCCCATCACGCCCCCCCTTTTTAGCCTTTCAATAGCCATCGCTAAAGAAAATGACACTTGTCGAGCACCGCGTCTATCTCGCATTTTCTGGCGCAATCACTCCTTGTTCGCCTTAATTGAATGATTCTTGAGCTCTTCAGCTTGGAGAATCTTCATTTAATATCCCATATCCATTTATATCCCATAGAGAAGAAAGAAAAGAGAGAGAAAAGCCATAAGATGATGCAACGGGCCACGTTCCCACCGCTACCCATTCGCCCGTCCAACAGATCCGCTTTCTGGAGACTCAATATTCCCTTTTCGAGCTCTTGCTGTTTTCTAGCAATTATTGTTTCTGACTGGCTATTCATCGGCCCCTCATACCTTTTTGTGTGCGTTGGCAAAATAAACCAATCTCCCTGAAGGAAAAAAAAAACAAAAACAAAAAAAAAAAAACCTGTCAATTGTGCCCTAAAAACCGGTCAAAACCTCGAATTTTCCATCTCTTCAATTCCTTGACAACCTGTGCACCAGTGACTCCTATACTTTAACCCTCTCCCGGCATATACATAGTGAAAAGAAACCCGTCACCCCTCCGAAAACATATACCCTCCGGATTCTATTCACACAAATGTCTCGCCGTCGAATATCCCACAGCGAAATGAACGAGGCTCTCGCGTACCCCTTTATGCAGTCCAACGGTCAATCCAACGGCCAATACAACGGTCAATTAAACGGCCAACCCCCTCGCCGAGGTCCCATCGAAGGTCCCAATGGCCGTCGCCTCATCCGTCGCGTCACATGGCGCTCCTCCACATACAAGCTCATGGCCACCCTGTGGGTGCTGGCCGTCCTCTACATCGTCTGGCTAGTCCGCGACCTCTTCTTACCCTCCGAATCCGAATCCAAACCAACCCCTCCTGCTCAACCCGAACAAAATTAAAGGCGTCGTGTGTGGTGGGGGGGAAGGATTGCGCCTTGGATTGGGTGTTTCCTTTCTCGGAGTGGGGGGTTTACCCATTGCGGGCATTTGCGCATCCAAGTCAGCTTCTTTTTGATTCTGTGGATATTTGGGTCCGAGAGGGTAGAGGACTTGGGCAGGGATGCATTGCGCTTAGGGGGAACACGGCTTTTGGCCCCCGTGAGAGATTGCGCCGAGGAGGACACATCCACAGCACGGGCTTGATTTGTTGCATCTGCCGGTTGAATTACGCTTGGTGGCTCCGGAGATACTCCGGGTTATTCCAAGGTTGGTAATAGGCGCTGGTGGCCAATTCGGGGGTGGTATTATGCTGCTGTCAACATTGTGATGTGCTGGAGTGGATTCGACTTTGCCGGATCTTCCTGTTCAATGGCTTGACTTCTCTCTACGGACTATATTTGCTGTTCGGCACTCAATTGACCAAAACAGCTTTGTTTTTTTTACCCTTCATTCTTTTTATTTGCATTACTTTCTTTACGATTGCATGTCCACAGCGTTCTATTGCATCTAGTTATGATTACCATGCAGGCTGATAGCCTGAGCATTTCCATCTTCTCTCTTATTCATGTTTGGGCGGTTCAATTGTCAGTTCTTTTTATACAGCAAAAGCTTTAAATGTCCTATATCCTATCTCATTATTCCCTATTCTCCTAGAATGACGCTTTCACCTTATCACTCTAAGTGTGACAGTCACAAATTGACCCCTCTCCTATCTAAGCCCCTCGAAGATTTGCGCGGGGCATCGGGGAAGCAGGGAAGTGGGGTGGGAAATTTCCCTAAGGAGATATCCACAAGTGGAACATAATGCCTTGCATTTCAATTTGTATACACAGTGACTCCTCTTTCGGCTATAGGGAGTTCCCATGCCTGCCCTCCATCTTTTTATATAACTTTTCACATTCTAATAGATACACAGAACACGACTGTACTAAGGTATCTTAAACGTACAGGGCAGAGGTCTCACCCTTGGCAATGGTGCTCGCGTAGGGCTTGATGGCGGCGGCCACCTCGGTGCTGGTGAACTTCTCGACCTGCTGAGGGGCACGGCCGACGAAGGTGCTGGCGTCCAGGAGAGTGTCCAGCTGGGGGATGATGGGTTGGAAGAAGGGGGTGCTGCGGATGCGCTCGATCAGGTCGTTGTCCTTACCCTGCTTCTTGACGTTGTCGGCGGCTTGGTGGGAGAGGACACCTGGGTACATTAGGGTTTTGATTCGGATGGGAAGTTATGAGGGGTCAGAAACTTACGGATCTCTTCGTGGGCGTCCTGACGGGAGAGACCCTTGGCGACACAGGCCATGATGATGTTCTCGCTGAGATATGGTGTTAGCGATATCAATTAGGTTGGTTGGATGTATACTCACGTGGCCATGAAGGGGAGCTCGTCGTTGACGTGGCGCTTGATGACCTCGGGGTAGACAACAAAGCCGGAGGAGACGTTGTCTAGTAGTGGTTAGCTATAAATCGAACCTGTAATAGCTATGAAAACTCACTCAGGAGAATGAGACAGGCGTCAGCAGTCAGGTAGAGCTCGGGGATGCTGATACGGCGGATGGCACTGTCATCCTAGTACAAAGTTAATAAGATATTCTAAACAAATCCCGCAGTATACTCACGAGAGAGCGCTCGAACCACTGAGCGGAGTAGGTATCCAAGCAGTCCTTGGGGAGGTTCTGCAGGTGACGTCCGAGAGAGCACAAACGCTCCGAACGCATGGGGTTGCGCTTGTAGGCCTACACACTATCAGCCAAAAAGTTTCAATCAACACAACGGACAAGCAAACTCACCATGGCACTGCTGCCAATCTGGTCCTTCTCGAAAGGCTCCTCAACCTCCTTGAGCATGGCAAGGTGACGGATGTCAATACCGATGCGCTCGCAGGTAGCACCGAACGAACCAATAGCGTTGGCGACGTCAACGTCGATCTTACGCGAGTATGTCTGGCTGGAGATGATGAAAGCGGAGTTGAAGCCAGCCTTCTCAGTAACAAGCTCATCCAGGCTCTCGACCTTGGCGTGGTCGCCGTTGAAGATCTGCAGGAAAGACGCTTGAGTACCGGTGGTACCCTTGACACCACGGAAGCGCAGGTCATCACGGGCACGCTCGAGGTTGCGCAGGTCCATCAGCAGATCCTGGATCCAGAGACAAGCACGCTTGCCAACGGTGACCAGCTGGGCGGGCTGACCGTGAGTGAAACCCAGGCAAGGAAGGTCCTTGTACTGCTGAGCGAACTGGGACAGCTTGTCGACGACAACAGCCAGCTTGGGGATGAGGATGTCGAGACCGTCGCGGAGCAGGATCAGATCGGCGTTGTCGGTGCAGTAGCACGAGGTGGCACCCCAGTGAATGATACCGGCGGCGGCGGGGGCAACCAGGCCAAAGGCGTGGACGTGGGCCATGACATCGTGTCTGCGGCGCTTCTCCTCCTCGGCGGCAACGGCGAACTCGTCATCCTGGATAAGCTCATGGGCCTTCATCTGCTCGATGGCCTCGGCGGTGATAGGAAGTCCAAGCTCTGTAGCCATGATTCAGTCAATTTGGACGTCTTGCTTCAACTACCTCCGACCTCGGTTGAGGCTAGACTCTCCCGTACCTTTTTGAGCCTCCGCGAGCCAGGTCCAAAGCTGTCTCCATGTGGAGAAGCGCTTCCGGGGGGAGAAGAGGTACTTCATCTCATTGCCTGATCAATTGAGTCTTATTAATTCCGATCTATACAATTTCCGGGGTTGCCCCTCTATTGGAGGGGCAATTGGGACCAACTTACTCGCATAGCGCGAGTTGAGGGGGGTCTGGTAGACATCATTGCTTCCGGACATTGTGTCGGTCGTTGTTTGAGACGCTCAAACGAAGGATTGAGCAACGGGACGGATAATAGGACAGGGACAAGGCAATGTGCGAGCAAGGAATTTTGCTGTAGTCCGATTTTAGCGGGGCTTATCAGTCACGTTATCGGAGATGATCTACATGTCACATGACATCGTACGTTCCTGAATCGGACTAATCGCAAAGTAGAGACTACAACATACACACTTCACAGGATTTATCTTGATTCACAATCCACAGAGACTATATAGGTTTTCCATAGCACATTTTGGTAAGCTACAAATGGAAAGGAAGGTTAAATCAAAAGAGAAGAACTAAAATAGCCGTTGGAACGAAAATACACAAGAATAGTCGGCCGCGTTTGCGTCCTTGTGACGTCTTTTTGGTCAGTGTTTTTAGAGTCTTTCTAAATGTCTTTTTCACAGATACTTTTCCCTTCTCAGTTTCATACACAAACAACAGAAGAAGACATAGAAAGACCTAATTTGTGAAATGCACCTTTCTATGTATAGTCAGGGACCAGGAATCATGACAGACCATGAAAAAATCAGGTGATTATCCTGCCAACTATTCTGCTTGATGGGAGCACTAAACATCTTAGATATCCCTATGTGGCCGGGAATTTGGTAAAACTCCAGCTGAAGACACCATATGATGAACAAACAATAGAAGTCAGAATCATACAGGTCTTTGAACCATTTACCTGTTCCTCTGCAATGGTTGTTCGACCAGTCTACCCTACTACCGTATGGGAAGGTGATATGGTACTGAAACTCTTCGACCGACGTTTTGCAACAGAACTCAGACAAAACGATGAAATAAGTCCTTGGACCTCGGATATCGAACAGAAGTATCATCAGTTCATTCTTGATGGTGATGCAGCGAAGCTTGTTGCCGAGCTGGCTGCCGACAGAGATTTGCCAGGTCGAAATTTTGACACATGGAATTCGTCTCAAGAAGAAACCTATTTACATGACTATATGCAAGGTCTCTACGAGACAGAAACTCAAACATACAACACCCTAGCCGATATGCAAGGGAAAGAGATACCTCGGCTCTTCTCGTGTGTGACAGTGCCTAGCTCTACCCCAGCACAGAATACTCTGCTCAGCGAATACGCCGATATTCCCGGAATCCTTTTGCAGTATATCGAAGGGTTTCCCTTGACAGATATCGCCACATGCGCCCCAAGAGATAGCTGGCAAAGCATCTGTGAGGAAGCCATTCGAATTGTCAATCTTGTCGGTGATAGAGGAATACTAAACGAGGATGTCAAAATGAGGAGTTTTGTTGTGCAAAGTCGCCCGGAAAATCAATTCCACGTTTTCATGATGGACTTTGCGTTATGCGACTTCCGCGAAGCATATGAAGATGAAACCGAATGGGAGGAGTTGAAGGCAAGGCAGGATGAAGAAGGGGCGGTTGGATTCGTTATGCAAAGGAAGCTGCAAGGTGGATTTGTGTACCATCGATCTGCTCGATACAGAGAACTTGATGAGAAATACAAAATAGATGGCTGAGATATGATTTCGATTCTGGTTCCCAAACCTTGCGTAGGTTGGCCAAGAAAATATAGATGGCTCCTAGGTATGTACATGTTTTAATGGCGGGCAATGATCCTAGGGAAATCAGATTTGGTGGTTGTATGCATTATTATGATATTAGCTCGTATAAATGACAGTCCTTTGTGATTGCAATCTTCGCTCAGGAAAATCAAGACAACTGCGCCAGCTGTACCGATAGGCTTGCCTTGTCGTACTTGATGTATTTGCCGCGGCCTTTGTCGATCTCCACATATCGATCGTAAAAGCGGGCATACAAGGGCTCGAGAACGGTCTGCAACTCACGAGTCAGCGAAGTCCGCACCTCGCGCTCCATGTGAAGGGTTTTGTGCCGAGACACCATATCATCGAAGCTTGCGTTAAATGCTTTGAACTTGTCCTTGATCGCATCTTTATCTTTGGACGACAGTGACTTGACGATGGCACTTGAATCCACGTTGCCGCTAGAATTGCGCTGCGCTCCACGGGAGGTATACTGCACATCAAGAAGGTACTGGGATGTTTCCTTCCATGCATCGAGATAGGTAGACGTCGCGCGCTTGCGGAAAGTGTCGATCCGGGCGATACTGTCGGGGGTGCCCAAATAACGTGCCAGCTCGGCGCTCTGTCGGATCGACCGGTCGACCACGCAGAATACGTTGGACAAGAATACACCAAGCGCTGCCTTGGATCGATGGAAAGCGCGACCTCTAGCTTCCAGGGAGGTCATCAAGGCCTCGATCATATCAAGAATGAAATGTGACAAAAGTGTGCCGCTGTCTGGACCTACATCTAGAGGAGCCGAGCCGGCGGTGCTGGACTTGGCACGCCAGTTTCCATCTCCCAAAGATGTCAGGATAGAAGCCAAAGGACCCGAGTATCCTGTCAGTGTGGCCAATGAGCTCATCACTTCCTCCACAAGAGGCACTGATCCACCGTCCGGTGGGAGTGGCGCAGTAGCAGCTTTGCGCTTCGTTTCCTCGAGCAATTCGGAAAGAGACGACTTTGCAGTTTCGCGTACAGGCCGAAGAGCCTCCATCAAGAGGCTCTTCAGTTCGGCGGCCTTGGAATCAATTCGATAGGACATCGCAGTCACAATTTCGATGATTTCAAAAGCCAAGAAGCAGTCCGTCATCAAATTGGCCTTGATATACTGATTGAGCTCACGCAGTGTTTTGGAGTATTCGCCCATAGCTGGGTAGAAGGTAGCCTGCAACGCCAGACCCTGCTGATCTCCAGTGAACATCTGCACGATAATACCGTGCTCAGTAGTTATAAAGGCCTCCAGCGCATTGGAGTAGATACCAATACCATTGGTACCCTGCTTGTAAGGGCCATCGGTGGGTCTCCGTTTAACGGTATTCATGGATGCAATGGCGAGATTCTGTAAGCTCGATGCGATGTATGGTCCTCGTACCTCCGCATACACCTTCAGCGCGGGGTTATCCCCCTTGCCACGTTGAGATCCATGGATGGATGCGGAGCCAACCGCCGAGCACAAGGGCGTCATATGGGAGATAGTTTCTTCGGGTATGGATGGAAAGGGGAGATCTAGTAATGTCGCGCATTAGTTTAGATCCAGATCGTTTGGTCGTGATACGCGTACCTTTGGTCAGATAGTGTAGGGGCTCAACCGGAGTGGCATGCTGGCTCAGTTCTCCTCGTAGCAGTTCTTGAAGTTTTGCGCTTCCGGTGTTTAACAGAGAGTTAAAGTCGGTGATCGCATTCTGATTTGATCGCAGGTTGGTTGTGCTGAGGTCGACCAGCGCCTTTTCAACACGTTTCATCGCCGACAGGTACTGGGTGAGGCCGGAGCTCTGTGGTCTGGAGAACGGTCAGCGAACGACTCGGGGCTGGATATCGAGAGAGAGTAGAAAAACACATACCCTGCGCGAATGATGCCATCTTCTCGGTTCTTTGCATCGAGAGGCTGGCGGAGGCGATCGATGGCGTCGTTGACCTTGTCGATGTTGCTGTTGGTGATTTGAAGGGACTGGGTGTTGCTATAGATGGGACCAATGGCTTCTTTAACAACTTTTCCTCCTGTCTCCAGGCGTACCATGGAGCCCTGTATCTTCTTCGTGAGTCGGTTGAGCTTCTCGAGGTTGGCATATAGGACCTCGACTTCCGCGCTCTCCTCCGCGTAGGCGGTATTCCTTGGCGCCACCATGGCTAATTGTAAATTGCAGTTCACGCAAAATCAATCCAGAGAGATCGTATCACATGTCATTCGGACCCCTCATGTTCTATGAAGGCAAATGGAATGTATTGATTGTCCCCTCCGAGCTCCGTCCAGTGATAAGGAGCTCCGCTACACTAGTCCCAACGAGGCCAGAGGCCCAAGTCCGGCACTGTCACGTGCTAAACGTCACGTGAATTCATGACGTCATGCATCGGGGGCTGTTAACGGGTGGCTTCCAAGAAAAGGCCGGCAGGGGCTAGGGAGTCCTTCAATGGGTCCCACTAGATGCAGCAGGCCTCTTACTTTGCCCTGAGCTCCCCTTCTACAATGGGCGCTGCAAGGGCCACTCGTCTGTGGACGGTACCCCCCGCTGCCCTAGCCGCATACACTGCGGGGGAATGGTCTCAACCCAGACAATCAAGAGCTCAATTCACTACTTCTAGAACACGGTCCAACAATGATACAGAGTCTGGGAAGTCCAATGCGGACGCAGATGGAGTTGGTGGGGAGTGCAAGGGCGATGGATCCATCTGGAACAATATCGGCCACAAGCTCGATGAGGTTAAACAAACCGTTGGCTCCGGCGAGTGGGTAGATGTGGGTAGCCTCAAGGACTACATCATCCCAGATTGGACGCGATTTCTACCGGCTACTGTTAAAAAGCTGCAGCAAGAGCTCTCCCTCTCACCAGGCTCATTGGCAGACGATATCTGGAAGGAGGCACAGGACCCCGACATCAACCCTGAGATTTTCCGCGACGCTGAGGTACGAGTAAGTGGAGATATCTGCGACGAAGAGCGGGAATTTAGACAGCAGCGACAACGGAAGGTTGTCAAAGCATTGTCATCTTACCTCAACATACCGGAAGAGGATATCCACCCCGAAGATGTACCGGTCATTGCGATGTGTGGGTCGGGAGGTGGTCTGCGCGCTCTAGTTGCAGGCACCGGATCGTACCTGGCAGCACAAGAAGCAGGGCTGTGGGACTGTATAACCTACACAGCTGGTGTCAGTGGCAGCTGCTGGCTACAGACCCTCTATCATTCGTCCATTGCGCAGCGAGACTTCGACAAGCTTGTCGACCATTTGAAGAATCGTCTTGGTGTTCACATTGCATTCCCACCGGCAGCTCTCGATCTCCTCACTACTGCTCCGACAAACAAGTACCTTCTCAGTGGGTTTGTGGAAAAGCTGAAAGGCGACCCTGGAGCGGACTTTGGGTTGGTAGATATTTACGGATTGCTGCTTGCAGCGAGACTATTGGTCCCTCGAGGAGAGCTCGGAGTCTCCGACGTGGATTTCAAGTTATCGAACCAGAGAGCCAATTTGATACACGGGGCACACCCGCTTCCCATCTACACGGCGGTGCGACACGAGATTCCTGTCAAGGCTATCGAACACTCAAACGACCAGACCAAGAAGCACGCAACGCCTGAACAGGTAGTGAAAGAGTCACGGAAGGAAGCATGGTTCCAGTGGTTTGAGTTCACTCCCTACGAATTCTTTTGTGAAGAACTCAATGCCGGTATTCCCACCTGGGCTTTGGGACGTCACTTCAAGGCAGGCCGCTCTGAGGTTTCTGCTGAAAATCTCCCCATCCCGGAGTTGAGAATTCCCGGGCTCATGGGTGTTTGGGGTAGCGCTTTCTGCGCGACTTTGTCCCACTATTACAAGGAGATCAGGCCTCTGGTCAGAGGCCTGGCTGGATTTGGTGGAATCGATTCTCTCATCCAAGGCAAGAACCAAGATTTGATCAAGGTGCATCCTATCGACCCCGCGGGTATACCTAACTACGTCATGGGTATGAAAGATCAGCTGCCTGACTCCTGTCCAGAGTCGATCTTTCAAAACGACCACCTGCGTCTCATGGATGCGGGCATGAGTAACAACCTGCCAATCTACCCACTCATTCGACCTGGGCGCGATGTTGACATAATTGTCGCATTTGATGCATCTGCAGACGTTAAACAGGAAAATTGGCTTTCTGTGGTCGATGGATACGCCAAACAACGTGGTATCAAGGGTTGGCCCATCGGCGCCGGATGGCCTAAAAATTCGAGCCTCAAGGACACCGAGAATGCCCTGCGCGAACCAGAGAACATCACCGAGGAGCAATTAACAGAGAAACTCGCCAATGCCAAGAATCACTCTGGAAATCAGCCCGCTGATCAAAAGCCCAAGTCCGGCACAGATCTGGGCTATTGCAATGTTTGGGTCGGCACCACGGAAGAGCGAACCTCGAACGACGAGCCTCCGCCATCCAAACGCCTATTTGATGCTTCCCACAGCGAAGACCACTCTGAGTCCGAGTTTCACCTGATGCGACCAGATGCCGGCATTGCGGTGATCTACTTCCCTCTGATTCCCAATCCTTCCGCACCAGATATCCCCCCCAAACCTAAAATTCGTCCTCGTGCAGCTGCACAGTCCATGCGACAGAATAGCTCCCAAACCAAAGACCCAGAACTCCCCCTCGCTCCACAGCCCAACTCGATCGACCCTGACATCGACGATTTCCTGTCCACTTGGAACTTCATTTATACGCCTGAGCAGATTGATTCTGTCGTTGGTCTTGCAAAGGCAAACTTCTCTGAGGGCGAAAAGCAGACTCGCCGTGTTGTCCGTGCTGTCTATGAGCGCAAGAAATCCGATCGTCTGCAGAAGGAGGCGGCAGAGCATCGGAAGAAGATGGAAGGCTTTGTGCCTCTTTGATTCTGTACTTTTTTACCCCAGTCAACTATCACCGGACCAAACCTGACTCTGGTTGAAGCTATACCATGCCATCGTGAATATAGACGGCACCTTTTTGACACTTTTACCTTGCATACCCCTGTCAATTCCTTTCCTTTTTTTTCCTATTGGGTTCAGCTAGATAAAACCTGGCATATCTAGAGTCCACCCCCATCATGTTCCTAGCAAGCTGCGATATCCATTTATTCATGTATAATACAGAGTAAATGACCTGTGACTGTAATCAAGCATACAAAATAATCAATTCGTGGTATATTCATAAATGCACTATGCACTATGTATTACTTATGCATGTGTACAAGTCCTAGTTAATACTATTTCCCCCCATTCTTCGGATAATTCGTCTTCACCCCCTCAAGATCTTCACTATGCACCTTTGAGACTTTGACCTTCCGGCCCTCATCATCAGTAGTAGTCGTCGTCTCATCATCGCTCCCAGCAAGACTAACACCCCGACTATCACCCGTCTGCTTCCGCAGTCCAAGTTCCTTCTCAATGGCATGTCCCAGTTCCTTAGTCTTGTCCGAGATACTTGCAGCAGTACTTTTCTGTGACGAACTCCTAGAAGGACGCCGGTTCTCCTTCATATCTCCCTGAGGCAGTCCGCGCCAGTCAGGCGGCTCGCTTTCATGAATGGGGTCGCCAGGTTTAGGCTCGCTGATCGGCCTTCCCGCTGCCGGCACGTTATCCTCGCTCTTCTCCCCTTTCCCCTTGCCTTTACTGGCGGCACTGGCTTCCACCGTCTCCGCCGCAGGATACCGCCATACAACTTTCAGCTTGTCTAACGCCCGGATCCCCTTCCTCGCACTCCCCTTGATCCCATCCATTGCATCCCATTCTGTCTCAAAGACGCCCGAGTCGTGCTCGGCTCCGCCTTCGAAGTATGGGTTGAACCATACGTGCGCGATCGAGGTTACCATCGCGAAGCCTGTGTAGGATGCTTTACTGCGGCGCTCGAAGTCGATGTTCACATCCGAGCTAGGAACAATGACTGGCTTGTTGGGTTTGAAGATTATTGCCGAGACACTGTGTCCTTGTGGGGTTGATGAGCCGGAGACGTCAGATCCCGATACCATCGGGGACCAGGTCGCAGACGAAGGGAGTGGGGTTTCCATCTTGGGGTTGGAAATGGGATTTGGCGTGGTGACATCGTGCCCCTTGCCAGCATCTTGTTCCTCAGAAGTCGAGCCCCCATCTTCAACGACGGTACGCTCATTCCGATGGAACAGATGAAAACACTTAATCTTCTTCCCCTCATCCACATACCCCTCCACCGCAACCTTAACCCCATCTCTCAAACCCCAGATATGAACCTCCAGGATCTCCACCGGCCGCTCAACATATTGTTTCCCCATCTCGTTGGCCCATTTATCGATGTACCCGACATACCGCAGCTGGCTAGGAATGCTAACGCCGTTCCCGAAGCCGACCCGCATGCGTCGATCCGTAAACCGCTGCAGCGCATCTTCCTTCTTCCACCCCTCCTGACTGATCAGGTATGCGCATGCGATCGTCCCGCTGCGCCCTTTGCCTGCTTTGCAGTGCACAACGGCGACCCGTTCGTTTTTGTCCGTGTCTGGTGAGTCTGGCTCTTTTTCCTCGTCTAGTCGCCGTAGCCAGTTCCGCATGCTGCCCATTATGTTTGGAATATGCGCAAATGGCGGTGGGTGGTGATCTGGCCAGGGGAAGTGGTGGATTCGTCCGTAGACTTCTGAGTCTGGGTATCCTGTGCCTTCGGCGCGGAATTCCCAGATGCACCAGTCTGTGCCATGTTTTGTGTCGAGGAAGTTGACTAGCGAGTCTAGTGGGTTGCGGTAGGCGCGTTGAGGGTATGTTGCCGATGGACCGGAGGTTGCGATGACTGTGTATTATGTTAATGGGGGTGTGTGTTTTAATGCGGGATTGATGGGTATGTTACTATTGTCTGTCACATAGCAGAGATCTAACCCTGCCTCTGGGTGTTGTTGTCTTGGACCTGCGACTATCTGGCGGAGAATTGATGACTGGGGATATGCCAAGGTTAGCAGTTGGAAGCTTATTGAGTAGAAGCCGACGTACCATTTGCAGGGTGTATAGGTGATTATAAGTTGTTATTCCACCAGAATTATGTATGGGGTGGAAAAGATATACAATCCCAGACAAGACAAGCAAAGCAAGCAAAGCAAAACAAGCACGGGTTATTTTTGAGGCGCAGCGGATGATGTCACCGGGTCAATTAAGCCTCTCCGCACGTTCTACTTGGGACTATTAACCTACTGTTATACTACTATATTGTACAATTTTGTAGCAGATATTGTAGAAAACTCATTCATTTATACATCGTAGAGTCCCAGGCTAAGTACACAAAATATTTCCATCAGAAAAATCCCAAAATTTCCAATTGAACCACAGGTCGCATGCTCATCAAAACAAACCCATTGAGACCATCCATTACATTAAAAACCAGCCAAGATCCTTCCAATCCAAAACCGCCAGAAGTCAAGACTGGTGGAAATTTAGGCAATACCGTACTCCTGAGTAGGCTTCATAACAAACTCAATCGGGTTTTGGTCAGGAACGGTAACATTCTTCGCGCCATGCTGGAACCAGGTTGCGAGAGTATTGTCGCTGAGCAGGGATTTCCAGGTATGGGTGACACCGACATTCCAGTCCGGGTTTTCAGCAGGTGAAACAATGGTTGTGATGTTCTTGTCGTCGCAAGCGACCTTCTTGCTTGTGATGCCGCTGCAGAAGGTGCGGAATTTGGGGGTCATCGCGTTCTCGCGACCGACAATGTCATATTCGTAGACGCAACCACCTTGGGAGCAGCCTACGGTGAAATTGGAGATGCTCCAGATGATGTCGTCGGTGATTGTCTGGGTCTGTAGGGCAGCCGGGCGTGCGGTGGCTAGGCCTGCTAGGACGATTGGGAGGAGGGTGGTGAGTTGCATTTTGGATTATGAAAGTTGTTTTATTTTCTTCTTTTGGAGAGAAGAGGATGTTTAAGTAAACAATTAAGTGGATGTTTAGAATAATAAGGAGGGGAGAGGAAGGGAATTATATAGTTAAAGAGGCGGCTGGCGTTTTACCCTTCCCCGACGGCTGCTCTTGGCACCCGGAAACGCACGCCGATCACTTTCAGGGGAATGTTGTGAATGACCTTTCAATGATTCAATACTGGAACAAAACTTGCTTGATTCCTCGATAGACTTCGAATATTCGAATCAATCGTTGTTTGATATTCACTAAGGTCTTACTTTCCGACAGTTACCCCATGATCGTCATCGAGGTCTTTCAGTCCGACTATTTATAGTACAGGGATCCACCAACAGGGAACAGGGTCTATGGTTCAAGGCCAGGGGTTCTTTTTTGGTCAAAGTAATACGAGAACAGGAAGGGAAAGATAGTTGCTATGATGCTGGGGCAAAATGTGGGTAATACAAGTACGAATAGGCTATAGTACAGAATATATACATACTGACCGAGGTCGAAAGTTGTGTGATATGGCCAGAAAGGGAATTGGCCCTCTGTTCCTGGGGGATTGTGTCGCTTGCATTAGCTGCATATCCCAGGCAACATGCCGTGAAGGAAATGGAGATTCCGATCGAGATTGAAACTTGCCCTCAAAGGACATGGAAAAAATTCTACCACTTTCACTCGGACTTGGTAGAGCCATTGTCGGTGCCACTAGCTTCCCATTCATCCCAACCCTCCTCTCTCATATTTCGCTCAATGGCAAGGCGGCGTCGTTTCTTCTTTCGGCGCTCTTTGTTGTAATCACGTCGCTGCTCATCTGACATGTTCAGCCGACGAACCGCTGGGGGTACAGGGTGGCGACCAGCTTTCTCGTTCGCTTCCCTGTCCTTCTGTTTCTGCTGTAGCTCCTCATCTAGCTTCCTCACGTCGTCTCGAATGAAGGGGTGATACTGCAGTCGCATCGCAAACTCGTCCACAGACCCGGCACAGATCTCACGAATTTCCGCTTGCGTTTCAGGGCTGAGTCTGGTGTCCCGCTTCATCAAGTCCTGGAAGTACATGAAACCGGACCGGAAATTCCCCGCATCCAGACACATCAGGATGATAGACTCAAAAGTAACGCCGTTCGGTACCACCCCAAGTGACGCCATCTCTTTCACCAGGAACATGCCCGATTCGCGGTTGCGGGCCGTTCGGCACATCCGAATTAGCGCGTTGTACACTCGGACATCGGCGCCCTCGGGGCATAACGTATAGAGCTCTTTGTAGAACCCAACGCCGTCATCCACCACGGATGGATCGTCATGGGCATCATGTTCACAGAGATCCGCGATGACACGCACAGAGTCGATGGGAATACTTCGTTTCGCATTCTTCAACCGCTTCAGAATCTGCCATGCCTCCCGACGATCAACTTTACTCTGTATCATGTGCGCAAGGACACGCTCCGTAGAACTATCCGCCAGAGGAATCTGAGCTTCATGCATGGCGCTCAGCGCTTCAAACGCAGCAGGCAGATCACCCACTGCCACGTGCGTCTCAACAAGTCCTTCATACTGTGTGCGCTCGAGCGGAATCCCGCTCTCACGGAGGTAACGGAACACAGAGCTCGCCATCTCTGTATCACCAGCCTTTGCAGCCATTTTCAATACGTCATCGCAAACTTCAATGAGCGGATGCATGTAGCCCAGTTCAACCATCCGGCGCCACACGTAGTGCGCCATGGGGTAATGGCCCTGACGTCCTGCCTCGGTCAACACGTGCATCCAAAGCCGATGGGTCATGTCATGGCCCTGGTCGACGCGCGCACGCATCACGTTATACACCTCATCCAATTCTCCATGGTCGCAGAGCGTGTAGACAATTATACTGTGTAGCCAGTTTTCCACAAATATATCCTTGCGCTCCATCAATGCAACATGCTCGAGCGCGAGCTCGATTTGGTTCTCGCGGAGAAGACCAGCCGCCACAAAATGCCATCCGGCCGGGCTCAGCGTGAGCCACCGGTCTCGGAGCTTGTTGAGGATTTCCTGTCGAAGGAGGTAGTCCGGATGTACAGCGAGAACCTGTATTGAAAATTAAACAGTAAGCTTCGCTGTTCATATATAGCTTGGTTCAACTGGATAACCCACCTGCAATGCACCGTGGAGTGTACCAGAGTCCGCGGTGATGCCGTTATTCTCCATTTCCTCCAGTAGACCACGCACAAGCTGCGGCGAGCCCCTCTCGTTATCGGTATTTGCAAGGATCAGCGCCTTGTAGTGGCGAGCATTCGGCTGGACATGGCGGTCCCGAATGAGTAGTCGCAGGATCTGCGTTATGTGTCGAATGTTCGGCTTGTTGTCCATTGCATATTGCAATCGAGACTCTAGCCCTTCGTTCGTTTTTCCTAGGAGGTCGTGTTGGACCTTATGTGTTCGTGTGTATAGCGGGCCTTTTCGTCGTGTAGGCGGCCCGGCGTATGTTGGATCCGCAGATAGGCGAACGTCGCGGTATTCATTATCGTGTGGCTCCCGTGGTTCGCGCCGATCATTGTGATATGCTGCATCATATGGGACTTTGAACCCATCGCCACCCGAGGTGTTGTAGCATCGGCGCGAACCCGAGCTCGGGCTAGAAATCGCAGGTAGTGTATATAGACTCGGATTTCGTCCCTTGGACTTCGGGAATGCTGTAGATCGACTGAGGCTCAGAGATGTGAATGATGGACACAGAGAGTACCATAGCCCGTCGAGGACTAATGCCCGCCGCGACATATCCGCTTGTGGCTAACTGATCGGAAGCTTAGCCTCCGCGGATTTGATCTGGAGTTTGATATCACGTGACAGTCCCGAATATTCGCTTCTTGGATTGCATGGGGTTTACAGAGAACTAAGTAAGCCTGGTTTGGGTTTTTGGAATATAACATTTAGAGGTAGTTTGTAAATCGACCAAGTGACCCAGATGCCGTGAAAATACAGAGCCAGATACGCCACGGCCATGCTCGATCAAACCGTTCCACCGAGCCTTCTGAGCGACCTTACCACCGTCTCCTCCGGGGGTATCTCGTTTGCCGTCTTCTTAAAATCATTGATGCAGAACAAGCTTATGTCTAATTGGGGCCGCCTCGTCCCCGACCACGTCCACCCCGGCCGCCACCACCACCACGACCACGGCCGCGGCCACGATCACCGTCTCGCCCGCCGCGACGGCCTTGTGGTTGGTTCTGTTGCTGCTCTTTGACAATCTCGACAATCTCTTCGGGAACTCGTAGGTATTTGATCTGGTGGATTATTAGCACAAAACCCGAAGAGCGGGGCTGTGGCTTCATTGCTCGTTAGAGGGCTTACGTTGTTGCCCCGGATGTAGACTTCGGGTAATCTGAAGAAGCGGTCGCCTTCGGGACTTGTCTGCACTACCTCGCGCAGAATCAGGTTCATGAAGTTATCGCACGTAACCAGGTGGCCGTTCAGAGTTTCGCCGTTCTTGAGTTCCACCAGCATGGGGTGGCCCTGTGCGGCCGTGAGGAGACCGAGAGGCAGCTGATCAGAAATTGACTTAGTATAGGTCCCGTAACGGGCGTTTGGGTAAAGCTGGAGCTTACCATTTTGGAATGCGATCGACGAGGTGGGTGAAGGTGGGAGAGTCAGTTGGCGCACAAAGTTGAAAGAGCGCGGGTCGCTGCGTAGGTCCAAAGTCTGCGACTTATGGATTGTATAGCGGAATTAAACCCTAATGAAGGGGCCTGTTAATTTGTCTGGGGATGTTGAGCGTAGCAACGGATTCAAGCTTCAAGAGATGCGATGAGGAATCCCGGAAAAAGGGAAGTGCCGAGCCTAATTGTGGCTTGGGTGCTATATGCAAGGAACTCTTACAAAACTTTTATATATATTCTTCATTTATGTCTACTATTTGCAATTAGAATCTTCATAGATTTACTAGTATGAGAGCTTTCGTTAACATAAATTAGTGGGTATCTACTAGAATCGAGCCTTTTTCAAGTTGCACACCAATGGGAGAACGGCGTATAAAAATATCTTTGAATGCTTCGAAAATAACATTCTCGTGTGCATTACATAGTACATAAGAGAGCTAGCCACGGCAAGAATTTTAAACCCTCGGTCGCTTAGCTAGCTCTGTCCCATCCTCCTCTTCCTCCTCATCATCCTCCATGACCGTGAGCTTGCGCTTGACACGTCGGTCTCGGCTACCGGTAGGAGCCTTGCTAGCCTGATCATTTGCCTCTGCCTCTTCATCAGATTCATTGTCTGGCAAGCGCCCCTCGAGCGCATCCAATGTGATCTCGTAACCTTCCTCCACATTTTGAACCGTAGCATCGAGTTTCTCCACCCGGTCTAGAAGCTCCAGCTCGTTCAAAAGTTCTTTGTGTTTTTTATAGAGACGTTGCTTGGTTAGCATACGCCACCAGTAGTAGCGTCGGTCATCCTCATTTTCGGCCTTGAACTTCTTGATCAACAGTCGAGCGAGGTTTGTGCCGCCGGCCAGGCGGTGGCTCTGAGGGATCTGGCCGAGAAGGTACATCTCCAGAACGTGCGCAAACTGCGTAGGTTCAATCTTGAACGATTTTCGGATGTCGTGGAGAAGTTTTGTGGGGATGAGGGCGGAAGTGGGCACATTGCGAGGGCGTTTCTTTTGAGAATACGCTCCGAGGGGGTCGGGGTTGAGAGTCACATTGTGCTTCAGGAACTCCGGCCGCAGCAGACAATAATCGGCTGTGTCCCGCAGCGCGTCGAACTGTTCATTGGGGTCTTCAATGGTCAATTCTAGAATGGTTGGGTCTGCGATGCAGGCCGCGTGGATTGTGGTATATAGGTGTGTGCCGTGGCCGGCGCGGTGGTGTGAAGGGAGAATAAGGAACTGGGCAATGCGGATCCGTGCAGGAAGCTCGGAAATGTTGACCTCTGGTGGCGGGAACTCGTTGTTCTTGACTGTGGGGCTTTGTGATTGATCACGCTGGTAATACCAATAGCGGTACGTTGTGGCATATCCGACGATCGAATATGATGACGCTGTTGCTGTTGGAGGCGTCACCTTCTCATATCTGTAAATTTGATTAGCTTCAGGTCACGGATATAACACAACAAGAAAATCATACACGAAATATACCCTCCATCGGTCGAGCGTCCACTCCGGGTCATCTGTATCTAGGGGAGTTCCCGCTTCTATGAAGAGGGACACGAGAACCTGCATACGATCTAGAATTTTCCGCACTTCCGCGTCTGCAAGTGATCCAGCCCAGACCTCATATTTTCTGTCATCAACCTCGTAGCTGATGACGAATTCGCCCGGGGGCTTGAAATCTTTCGCGTCTGGGTCGTTTTGAACAGCTTTCTCATACTCTTGGAGATTGGTGAATGCCTCTGCGCAAAATCGTGGTTAGCTTATATCGCAAATTTTGTCGCAAAGCTTGGATTTACCTTGCTGGACAAAAGGTTTCAAGGTATCGAGAAGATCCACAGCAGCTGTGTCACCGACCGACTTGAACTTCTCGTCGTAGGAAATGTGAACATGAGGGCGTAAATCATGGGCCGCAAAGCGCAAGCGGATAATTAAGCCTTTGTAGCCGAAGATTTGTTCATCGTCGCCAAAGATAGGATAGGTAAATTGGGGGTGGAATGTCGAAAGAGTTTTCGGCTTCTTCTCGCCGGGTTGAATGACAGTAACATGGACCGCATCGTTGGCGTCACAAGACCCTAATGTGAATATTAATCAGCTGATATCTTGCGGCATTTGATAGCGGGGGACTATGAACTTACATCCAGCTTCGCTCGCCATTTTGGCAGGATATGTGAAGTTTGAATGCCAAATTAGACTATGGAAGGTTTGAGGTCTTAAGAGAGACGCGAATACGCGCCCCGGCCCAGGCGCGCATCAGTATTACCTAATCTGGATATATGGCCCCGGGGCCCGTAATCATTTACCTGCAACAGTAACTAGATCTAGTCACCAAGGATTCAAAACCTCAATGAGAGATTGTGCAAGGATAAAAGCTCTATATTCGACGGCTTTACGCCCAAATTTTAGACGCCTCTGATTTAGAACTCTTTGCAACCAACGAGCAACGCGCTCCATACAGCTTAAAAACTCGGAAACTGGGAGAGTGAAGCAATTCACCTTGGTCTCACGTCAACGTTACTTCGATGAAAATATCTGGCTCTGTAGCATTATTATACACGCTCTGGTCATATATATTGATCCATATGACCCTGGTCTTGCTAGTAGTAATAGCCTCCCAATCTACTCTTCTTAAACGGACCGAATGAGTGGTCGAGGTGAGTACATGCGTGTGGCTCTACTTGTGGTAAGGCCGAGGTCTCTGTAAAGTCCTATGTATTATAATGTAGATAATATTATACAAGCTTTCGTTGGGTGACTAAAAATTGGATAGAAATCTGGCTGTCGGGCAATGTATGGAATTCCTAATAGTCAACTATTTAGGTCGTATCTATTCTCAGAGTGTGTGGCAGTCGGATCGTATAACCTATTGAATCATTAGCCCTCCTGGCCCATCGCCAAGGCTGCCGCTATGTCTTACCTGGTAGTCTCTCTCGTGCGCTATCCGAGTCATTTGTCAGTTGGCAGCGTTCTGAAACGGCCAGCTGCTCTAACGCGTGGATCAAATCGAGTTTTTGTGCGGGAGCCTTTAGGTGTATAGATTGGAAGCGACGGCAAGTAGGACCCCCGAGCTTCTTCGCGTTGGACTCGTAACATAACTGCCCCGAGCTGGTGGTCTCAGATAGACTTTCCTGCATGGAGCGATATTCCCGTAACAGGTAGTTTTGTTTACACCTCAATACCTCGCCCGTTCGTTTCACGCCGAACTGCCTGAGGTATGCCCTGGATCTTTCTTCCAAGACGTCCTTCGGTGCCGATGCAACCAGGAAAGGAGGTTCATTTTTTTTTCCCCGTAAAGACCAGGCGATCTTGTTTGTTTCAGAGATCCTGGTTCTAGGCATCTTGTATGACAGGTAAACCACTGAATGAGGATGGCAGTGAAAGGTGAGATGGTGCAAAGATCGGATGCAGTAAAAATTGTGAAAGGAAGTCCGTCGAACTTGGGGGTGTCACTTACCCAATTTTCTAATGAGGATTTTCACAAGATAGTGACTACGGCATGCTATTATGGATGTTTTGCTCGGTTTGCGCAACTCAATAAATATCCCATTAAAAATTAGGTGATGCCTGCGGACATGAAATGGGGCTTAGCTGATGCATGGATTTTTGATAGCTTTCAGCCCGGGCAGAATGTGTCGCTGGATCACAGAACGTATTTGAATCTATTACTGGCCAGCCCACGATCTCAATTTCCTTACTAGTCCGCAACATATGGTTGATCCCGTCATGTATCAGATGTTTGCTGTCATAGCCAAGAGCTCGCTAAAGTTTGATACGGAAAATAAACCAGTCGGATCCAAATTCATCGACGTCAAGTTCAGGCCTGTTGGACACGTCGGGGTCTTCTCCTATTTCATCGGAATCACTCATATGTATAGAGTAGGTCTCTTCCGTTGGTATCTTTATAGAGATATGAAACCAGGCGAAGTTTCTTTGCATTGATTGTTTTGCTAGGGGCACACCTATTATTGCCTCGCGAAAACATTGATCTTTCACCCTAGCTCTAAGGACCCCCTCGCGGATTGACATCCTTATATAGTGCTACAGTTGCCTCTATACTACATGGATATGCCCTGTTTACGCCTTAGCGCGTCTTTACTATAGGCTTAGGAATACGATAGCTGGATGACTCTTGCTTCGAGTCCATATATGGTTCGCACCACAGCACTTTTGTTAAGAAATTGACTTGCTTCGAATACGATGTTGCTATAATTTGCAGCAGCCTTTGCGTTTGCATGACAGTAAAAGGAACATCTTCAGATTAGTGAAAACCTATACTATGGCAAAAGTCGCAGACATTATTAAATCCGATCCCTCCCACACAGCTAACGAAGCAGACAGCGACCAGGTCAAGTTCAGATTGCCAGAAGTCAGAAGTATTAAACAAACTTTTCTTCAATAGATCAGCCTGGGAAGTAGTAAACCCTATATTACAGCACATCCTAGTTGATTCCAACAAAAACTCACAAGTAGTGCAGTTGGGCCAATGTCCTTGCGGGAGAATAGATCAACACTGGCATTGAGCTGGGTAGCCAGAACATCCACTTGGGCAACCCTTAACGAAACTTTGATCGCCACCGGGGTTGTCGCATAAATAGATTGAATTGGCTTGATAGGCTATAATAGGTTAGCAGCTGATATATATAGTTCTCCAACAACTGTAAATATTTTTCCAGCCAGAAGGGCTACCGTACTAGGGGGGTTTGCAGATTGGTTGAGAAGCCAGCCACAATAATACTGGCCACGGTTACACCAGGTGCTACCCGCAAGAGCAGTGGTGGCGGTCAAGCTTAGAACAAGTGGAGTGAGTTTCATTGTGACAGACTGCTTTCAGTTTAAAGTCTCAGAAACCTTTGTTGCTGGAGGGCTAAGTGTCCCAAATCTAGTCATGTATGAGAAAGAAGTGTCTTTTATAGCCACCACCTACCATCTATCCAAGGGCAAATCCCCCCCAAGCTACATTTACAATTGATATCACCAGAGTCCAGACCTACCCTTGCGTAAGTCTGACATCAAGCACTACGTATAATTCTCTACATTAGATCCTGATTATTGCTATCAAACAACTACGTCTCATGACCGCCACTTAGAGGTTCAACTACGTTCGCGGGTTAGAACCGCGGTCCGACCAAATGCGGAGCCCCGGGATATACTAGTGAACTTCATTGGCCATTTCCCAGACTAGACAGCTGTTTCTACAATATGCAATGTATTGAAAGTGCATCATTACTGCTACGTCCATACTTTCCAAGCCAAAGGACAACTATGTAATACCCCCGCATCACCGACTTATTGCTGCTACAAATCAGTTACATGGCCTCATCATCGCAATTGACAGCAGTCTTGCGCTCATATGTGAGGCATTGATTATAGCGAGTCTGTTCTAGATTGGCGGGTGAGTTTTCCGCTTTGCTTTGTATCCCCATGATGACCGAGTGCCATGGTTGCTTCTGATCTAGATTGAATCTACGAAAATCGAGTCTAAGCAAAGATAGCCAACATATGAGTGTCTCACGCCAGCGCCATGAGTGATCATCCGAGCTCCTATCATGTAAAGTACTCAAAATGGTGATAGGTTATGGTTAAGCTACAGCAGTTAGGCTATTACGCCACTATTTTCCGCTTAAGATCAACTATCTGTAATACATTACAGGTCTCCGACTGGAATACTTATACTTAACGACCTCAACGTATATTCAATACATGTGGCTCCCGCATATGGAAGTTCAACTTGTGAATATGATCAGAGAGTGAGGAGTTACAAACCTGGGGCAGTAAGATTACTGAATTGTGCTTAGGGGAAAATGTACTTTATGGATGGAAATGGCAGTTAGAAGAGACCGTAATGAAATGATCGGCGTCAAAGGTCATGGCCCATCTCTTCATCCGGTTGGCGGTCCTTTGCTAACATCTTCTTATCCGCTCTTTCGAGAGGTTCATTATTTGCCTGGCTCTGAGACATATTTCCGCTAGCATATGAACCAGGCTGATTTCTCTCGATTATTTCGCACATTGTTATGTACCGGCCGAGCGTTCCATCAATAAGTCGCATAACCTCACTATTTGGGTAATCGTTATCGCTGTATTTGAGTCGAATACCCGTGTTGTCAATGAATGTCAGCACCTTGCTGATCTCCGCTATATCATTCCTAAGCCGCTGTGGTAGACCACGTCCTTTCATTAGGGCAAGGATGCCGGCAACAACTGTGTTCAGAGCCCCTAGAATAGTGATGGCCAACATATGCTTGTTAGCCAAGGGCCATAATGCGGTGATTGTTGCTCCAGCCGCCAACTGCACAACAGCTAGGACATTGAACACCACGCTAAAAAGGTGATTGTGGGAAGTTTAAGATCGTTCCTGGGTTCTCAACTTCCTGCGCAAGTCGGCGGTTGCGGATTCAAAGATCTCGTAACTTTGTTTGGTTTTATTTTGGTGTACAGACGACTCTGACATTTTGAAAGGCATCTTGGATTCAAGCGGAGAAAGGATCAAGTACAGACGTCCTATATTGAAATATCTTGTTAACGCCTTGAAAATAACGGAGATTAGGATTTATATTTCTATCATTTATATTCGAGCTAGGTGAGATTAGACTGCGACATCGCCCGTCCACAGTGGGCGGTGGGCTATTTGGATTTTCGAGTGCCTGTCTATAACGCCTACCGCCTACGGGTATACCTATCGCGGGCATACCCACTATACCTACCGTTATATAGAGTTATCTTAAATATATATAAAAATCAGATATATAGTAAATTATACTATATATATTTATATATATCTTACTAAAAATCCGGAATTATGATTGTAAATATGTAAAAAATATAAATTTAGTTGAAATATTTTGAAATCTGTTAATAAAAACCACGTGTTACGCTAATTTTACTTACTAAAAAGGCCCAAAGGGTAGGGCCCATTTCCCGCTTACGTAAGGCCCGTCGGCAACCTTGGAATGCCCACCCGCCCGTCCATGGGCGATGTCGCAGTCTAGGTGATATGGCATAGCAAGAAGATAGCAGAACTCGCAAGTCTAGCTGATATTTGCATGACAAGTACTGAAGTATCTAGATAGACCTTTTGAGACCGGCATGGAGTCAAAAACAGGCACTTGACACCTACCTTGGAGAAAGAGTCGCCTAGGCCAAGCACTTTCGTGGTTGGGAAAGCGCCACGGCATCATATAGTCAAACATATTACCGCAATCGGCGAGTTGCTCGATATATAGTGTTGTCCGATCATAGAGGCTTGTTGGCACGCTGTACTTGGAGATTCCATGGTCGAGGCATGGGGCCGTTCCGAAAGTTACGCTTAGATTTGTTCTAACAACCGGGACAGCACTCATTTATCGCCGTCGTCGTCCGAACTTGGTTCATGTCAGCAGGAGGACTTTTTAAGTTGAACCTGAGTTGATTAATCTCTGGTAGGGTTTTGTGCTAATATTTCCGACCAATGGTGGAATACGGCTATGGAATCAATGAGATTCTTGTGTTTAAGTATTGAGCAACTATGTCCGATCGCGATTCCTTACCGGGGCTTTAGAGCGATATATCCATGGAAGTGGAAATTTTTCCGAATGCGGCGGTTCTATCGAGAGCCAAACCGCTCCTAGAGCGGCCAAAATACATATTCGTTCGGCATCAGCTGGCAGAAGACTCCCATGGTTCTTAAATAGATAGATTGTCCTCTGCCGATTGCTTCCGGATATAGCGCTAAGCTATTATCATCTAGCTTACTGGGGCACGAATGTATGTGCTATGTAGGGACAGTAACATTGTGTTCTTTCCATTAAAGCACTATGTCAAGCGGACGACACAATGGTACAAAGTGAAGTCATATACCAGATGCCTAGAACCAACAAACAACATAAAGAGTCATAGATGTATATAGATAATGAGCTCATTCCAGACATAACTTAGTAACATACGTAATTACACCGCATTGAAAACATATAAAGAAGATGCTATTTCCCAGCTAGAAACCAAATTTCTTAGTTGCAATCCATGCTTGCAAAGCAAATACCATTGATAAATCGCTTTTTTTATTATATTGGTTAACCAACTCAGTATGAGATTCGTCGCAGTGCTTCCATTTGCAGGTTTAGTTCTCAGTGCTAGATACTCTGAGGAGTCGTGTGGTCCTATCTATGACAATACACCTGTTATTAGCTGCCAGGATAGGCCTGGACTGCGCTGCAACCCGTCTATTGGGCTTGACTGCTGTCCCCTACTTGACTGCACTACTGACTGCCCAGGATGCTGGGGTTATGTAAGTGATTTACTCTACGGGACGTCTATAGTGGCTGATGTACTGCAAATAGTGCCGGAAGAACTAAGAGATAGGAGTTACGGAGGAATATGATTACTTACTTTTGTCCCAACTATGTGTACTGCTGAGTGAACGAGGAAGTTTGGGAACATCGAATACTTACGATAGGTTTTTATCCTTGAGCTTTATCATGTATACTTGACTTTCTATGCGAATGCAAAGGCTCAACTACTTCTAATAATATCCGGGATTAGACTTAGGGTACTAGTTGACTATGTTATAGTAGGATATTTACACAATGCAAGCATTAATGACGATCCATATCAATTCTTTGCCATACCAATATGGCTCGTTCTCTACCTCCTCATTTCAGCTAGACAGGGATGTGCCTACAAATCCTAACTCTGCTCTTACTCAATGTAACATAGGAAGATATTACAAAAAGTCTCAGAGAAAAAATGGTCTGGTTGGACTCTCTTTAGATGTTTTGATGTCCAAGGGCTTAAAGTAATTATTGCACAGAAATAACCAATAATTGGACTCAGTAACTAGTCGATCTGTATCAACAAAGCTGCTATGAAGGTGGTTCTTGACCTAGGTATGGTTGGGTGTTATGGCTTAGCGATATTCGAGACCAACTAGGTAGGGCTCGCGTGGCGCTGAGAAGCTCTCACAAATCCGTCTTATTCGGTTAGTAGATTGAGAAATCTCATTTGTTCAGCCGCCCCCACAAGGAGTTTCTAGTTGACAATACACGGACCCCTCTTTCACTACATCATGCAATACCGTAGAGATACTACAATGATCCATGTACTATATATTTCAAACCTATAAAAACTACTATATATAGACTAGCTGACCGTAGCAGTCTTTTGCTCACTTGAAAGCGTTGGTGCCATTTTTGAGCGTACAGTTTAACATACTTATAGCACCCGACTTGCCCTATGTTGTAGGGATCACCCGAAACCGCTATATTAGGCCTAGAGTTATGGAAACTAAGGGGGCCAAGCAACGGATTTGCCGTCGGTGCCGCGTGCCCACCTGGGGCACCCACGGCTTGGCCTCCAAGATGACTAGGGTCGCCCCGCCCCCGGGGCCGCAGCGTTAGCCTCCTGTAAGCCAATATACTTTGTATCGCGCAGTCACATGCAGTCAAGGTTGCTTGAGAGTTTTCAAATTGAGATACTACGTCAAAGGCTTATTTTGATGGCCCTTTTCATTGGAGCATGAGATCAAGAAACAGAACACTGAGCAGTTGCCTGGTATACCATGTACATAACCAGGGTGTAAGTCATGGATGTGTGCCCGATTCCTCTATCGGTCAAATGGGGCCCCGTAATTTTAATTTCCAGGGACTTTCGTTATCTATACCCTTCTTGGACAAGGGTAATGTATGGGGCTAAGGATGAGTCGGTCGTCTCTACCTTCAGTCATTTGCTGGCTCTTCTATAGCTTGGTAGGCTGCTTTCCCCTAGTTTTTCCAAGCCTTTCTCTTCAACCTCTGTCTCCTTGCTTTATTTTGAACATTCACCTTCCAAATTTTTGCGCTTTCTGTTGCATCCTTAATTTCCTACCAAACCTTACGCTGTCTAATCATGGTTGAGCCTATGGTCATGGAGGGAGACGCCTCATTCCATCCCCCCAAATACCCCAAGTCATCCTTGAACCAGAATTCGTTCTTCAACGCGTACCTCATCTGCTCCTCTATCTGCGCAATCGCCGGTCTCATTGTCGGTGCGGTCTCGCTCCACAAAGCGAATGAGCTCAAAGCATTTCAGTTCTCCCGAACTATCACGGACTTGGACCGTACCTTTAATAGCACGATCTACGCTATTACAAGCAATAGCACACTCGGTCCAGCGTGCGAGAAGGCTCCTATAGAGCTGATCACAGGGCAAACGTCTATCCCAGGTCAATGTGTCACTGTCACTACCAGCGATACAATGTGGGTGACAAGGCTGGCCATCAATTGTGTACCTATTGCATATAAGAGCGCAAACTGCACTGGAACTCAGAGAGAAATTGGCGATATCACTGCTCCATACTGTGTGGCTGCAGCTGGTGCAGGCATGTTGGGCGGTGATCATGGTGATTGGTTTGAAAGTGTCAAATTAGTTTGCTCTTGAATACTTGATTTGGTCTACGGTTCCCTGGGAAATATGCATTTCATCAACCCCATTTCTAAATTGTGGCATGAGCACCCAACTGGTGCTAAAATAGAATGTCAAGAACTTTGGCCTGAGATGCATCAGGAAAATGGCGCTTTAGATATAAATATGTGTCAAGATAGTTCCTGCCTCAGGCGGATGACCTTGTTCCGCATCTTGTTTGATCTTCCTCCCTCTCTCTTATAGGTGTACGATTGAAATCATAAAAAGTCTCAAAGTCTAAAATACAGAAGGTGCAGACCATAAATAGAAGGGGCACTCTCTAGCCAAGATAAAAGGTAAGAGCAGTTGGGAGTAACTTTTTAGAGCATAAATTTGTATGTAAACAAGATATATATATAAATTAATTGCTACGAAAACCTGTTTACATGTGTTTTCTTTATTTCACTATACCCCGGTTTTACTGTGTTACAATTGAGGAAGCTGCGAGTACTCGGGTAGTAATATACGGAAAGAACCTTGGAACCTGCCAGTTTGCCAAAACATCTCCGAACAAACCTTGGTGCGGCTAACTATAAAAGAATAATACCCGGAATGAGGTATGAAGGCTGTCATTATGTCTAAATTCTATTTATATCCATGCATGCTGTTCCACAGCTTCTGATCTAGTTTCCACTTCGCAACTGATTTTTTGAGTTGAGGTATCATTTGTAAAGCTCGCCGGATCCCCATAGTACATGCTATCCGCTCAAGTGTTTCAACAACCCAATCATGAACTTCATCGGGGGTTCCCGCCGCGCCTCCGGCCACTCCTAACGGGAAAAGCAGCATGAAGGTACCATTCAACAGTGGTATATGTGATGGGTCTTCAGCAACTCCTTGTGCGGAGAGACCTTCCTGGCTTGCAGATCCGGCGCATATGTCAACTGCCATGCAAGAAATAATGTCCAATGATTGCTGCCGTTGAATGACATCATTTGCCGTGGGTCGTGTCATTTTTGAAATATGGGATACGATGGTCTCGTTAACCAGCAGTCGTGCCCAGCGGTAGTGGTTGAAAATTCTCGAAACCCACATATCTTTGTAGATATGATACTGCCTATGGAAAGTGTATTCGCATGTATTGGATTCTTTCACAGTAAATGACCAGTCTATTGGGAGGTGGGTTTCCCAGTCGTGGAGTTCATCTTCAAACAATAGTGCTGACTCCACTACTACTCTGGCATCGGGCTTTTGATGATGCACATATGCATCGAACATCGCAAATCTTACTAGTATGTCAACGATCTCGGCACCCGGTAAGATCTCTGGTGGGGCAGAGGGTATGAGATCAGGAGACCAGTTCAGTAGATCCGGGGAGACAACCCTCTTAGAGAAATATCTGACAATTGAAACAAAGTAGAATTGTAAGTGGGCCCGGAGGTCCAAGTTCGCGAGTGATCGCCGAAAGATGGATTGTTTAAGTAAGGCGGCCGCACCATCCAGATGCACTATCCAAGAGTCGAGCTGGCTTGGGGTACAGCTGACCATCTGCGCGGGTCAGTTTGTTGGAATTATTAAAAATCTTCAATTTGAATAACGCACCTCGTATAGACCTAGCATTACGATCATGTGGAAAGTTCGATCGGGATTGGCCTGAGCGGGGTTCTCCACTACTTCTCGCACGGCCTGGATGACCATGGCATGTTTTTCCCGAGACAATATCCGCAGTGCTCTGTCATCATTGACATTGGACAGGGCAGCAAGGCCCACCGAGATAACAGCATCTCGACTCGACTGATCGAGAGCGACTGCTCCAAGATGAGGAGACGGCTGCACAGTACCTACATGTAGAGAGCGATCTTTTCCGGTGGCCATCCTTGTCACAAAATGGTTGACAAAGAACCTTAACCCCTGATCCTCCAATGGGATGGATAGCGGGGCAGTAATTCTGAGAGGAGTCAGGATCAATTGGCCCCTGCCCCTGCAGACTAGTTTATCTGACGGCGAACGATCGGATCGCAAACCGGGGGCCGATATATCGGATTCTAGAGCTGCAATATCCTCCAATTTTCGACGGGCCTCGGTTTTGGCTTTTGCTTCTGCACTTCGTCGAGCCGCCTTGTCATTCTCGTCACGGAACATAAAAGACGGCACGTCCCGATAACCGCCACATGGCTTGCCCGCTCTTTTGCATTGGGAACACACAGGCTCAAGCCGATCACACTAAACCATGTCAGTTTATTACTGGTCTGGTGTTAGGCCACGCCACTTGCCTTTATTCGTCTTTCCCGACAGCTGCAGCAAGCTTTACTGGGGCGACCGTAAAAAGGCATTGTTTCTGAGTAGATGCGGGTGTATCATATTCAGTTCTAAATAGGCAAAGAATTCGTGAGAATTGGAGATGGGCCGATGACTGGGGGCTTAGGCTCTCCACTTCGGCAGCTTGGCATCGGCCTTTCCTAATGGGGTATCTGTTTCATCATTCGGTCTAACATATACATAAACATCCGATTTATTCATTCCCTTTGATTATTTTATTCCGGACTTTACAGTTATATCTGGATGCTTAAGTACAGAGTAGTTGCGGGTGGTTCTCGAGAGCTCTCCTTGGAAGACCCCCAAGTGGGATTGGTTTAACAAATACGACACTAACAGACCAGGTCGATAAGTATATGAAAAAAATTATGTACATAAAATTAGGGGTTGACCGGTTAAACTAATAAATGCACATAGCAAGAAGATTTCGGGTAGTGTCAGCGGTTGAAGAAACCCTCGTGGGGCATCTAGGCGAAGACGTATTATACATGGCAAGCACCGACTGCTTGACTCTCCACGTGATGATGATGGTGATTGTGATGATTATGGCGATGAGCTTCCTGCGACGTATCAACTGGTGCAGTGGGCGAAGCTGTCGATATAATGACTGAACTTGTACTGCTCACAGAAGATTGGGAGGCCCCACTGTTACTTGCAATACCCGATGATGCAGATGTTTCAGTGTTCAACGCAGTAGAGATAGTAGCAGAGATTGTGGTGGTTGAGTGCGAAACAAGCGCATTCTGGCCGGATACGCTAGAAGTCGTAGTCGTTGCGCTAAGAGCCCAGTTCAATGTAGTGGACACCCTTGGTGTGGGATTTGCCGTAAGTGAAGCAGATTTGGACGAGAATGCAGCCACCGCATCAGACTCATCCATGTGATAAAGCAATGATCCCCAACCCAGCCCATCATAGTGGCCAGACCCTTCTCCCCAGGAGCCCGCACCACCCTCTGCGCCGCCGTAATAGTCAAGGGTTTTGTTGAGGTAAAGAGTGGTCCAAGGTGCGTCTGCTCGCTTCAACATGACATAATGGTTGTACAGAAGCTCCCAGGTAGGTCTAATGGCTCCACGAGAGGCACTGCTGATCTCTGTGTGGCTGACTATACCGTTCGTGTAGTCGACGAAGGGAACGTCGTTTCCAAGGTTGTATCGCGCGAAGTACTCCGTCCTAGGGGGTTACATGAGTAATTGGTAAGCCGGGAATAATTGGATGGTACTTACCCACGGAGTATCCGGCTATCATTATAAGCAAACAAATCCTCTCCCTGGTTCCAGGCCTGCTGTCCAATAACACCGAGAAGTTGTATGTCTAATGCTGAATGGCCCTGATCACGACCGGATTCTTGGCCTTGGCCGAGTAAAGCCCCAGTACCAGGCTCTTGAACGATACTGACGATGGCGTTGTTGATTGCGCCTGTTCCATCCCCGTGTTTGAAGTAATCCACGGCAAAATCCCACACTGTTTGGTTGTCGGTTAGGACACCCATTGCCATCGCCGAAGCGACATTGCACAACTCCCAGTTCGCGAAGAAATGAAGAATATTATGCTCCGAGGGCTCTTCATGGTTCAGCCATCTGTAGTGCATCGGGATGAAGATATTATTGGCCATTTCTATGACAGCTGGGAGGACATCATCCACGAAGGGTTGATAGTCACGAAGGAGTTCAGCTGCGTTCGCGAGTTCGTACCCTTGCAGGCCAGCTGTGAGGTACTTGTCATCACCACCGTCGATTGCAGTGAGAGTGGTCGCCCATGCATGCAGGATATTGCTAGCAGCATCGGCGAAGCTTGTGTTTCGGGATATTTTCCAGCGTAGGCCTAGATTGAATGCTGCCGCGACGTCATGCCAGAGGAGCTGTGCGTTCGCTTCATGGCCATCCCAGGTACCCCGATAGACAACGCTAACTGGGGAAGGAGTATATTTGGCGTCAGAGAATGAGAGACTGGTCAGAGTATCCCAAGATGTAGTCCATGGATCCTGGTTGGCCTTGATCCTTTTCTGGGTACGAGAGATATCGCTATCAGAGACAAGGAGGCCAGGGTGCACAAAACTTGCTACAAGGGGGAGAAAGGGGACAAGAAAAGAAAGGAAGGCGACCATTGTAAAGAGAACGGTAACATGAATGAATACAAATATGGCAAGAGAAAGGAAGAACAAGGGTAAAACTGAAAACAAGCGATATCAATGCAAGATCGTTGTTTCTCTGGTTAAAAAGGAGATAAATTCGAGATCTACAACATATGAAACTATTCCGTTCTTAATCTAAAACAACTTGTGTTTCAGTTATGCCCTGACTTGGATAACTAGATTTTCGAACAATTTGTCTTACTAAGAAAAACGAATTGTTGAAGCTCCTTCTAGAATTGTAATGGGGCACGATCTCAGGTATCTGTTGATCAAGTAGTCGTGCTGACATTAGAAATGAGGTTTATATTCACCCCAGGAGGAAATTCGTGGGTGACAAGAAACACCGAAGATTTTCCGAACAGTATCTCCTACATAAATGTATTATGACAAGAACTCTTATCCTCAACGACATACGACTTGAACAATCTGATAGATCTGGCTCAATATAAGGGATTCTATATGTAAGATAATACCAATGTCTTTTTGGATGTTCTTTTGGGACATATTTTTAGGTGTCTTTTTACATGTTGTAGATGCCCCCCACCCCCCCTTCTCGGTGTTTTAAGATGATTATTAGCGGTAGAAGGAAGACGCTCTACAATATGCAAAGGCGGTAAAAAAAAAAGACGTAAACCGTATAGAGGACTTTTCTATGTATGACTACGGATCTTGTCTACCACTCAACGTTAATTCTCCCGGGCAGCTTCCAGAGGCATCGTTTGGGGCCGTTCTGTTTCTCTAACATACGCGCTAACGGCTATAATCCATATGGCAGCTGCCCCCGGAGAGTAAAAGAGTGCGGAAGTTTATGAGCTGTGTCCAAGAGCTGCGCCACTTTTGATATCCCAGGCTAAGTTGCTAAGGTCCGTTGCTTGCTATGTGTTACTTCGCGGAGACCACCACCCAAAGTCAATTGCCTTTACAATAACATAACGATCTCTGGCTAAGGTACCATTGATATTGTATTGATAGCTACATTTCCCTGATTATATATGGCAAAGTTGGGTTGCACATTTTGAGCTGTTTTACCGCCGATCTTGTATATTTGCGGCTAATTCTTCTGATTCTTCTAGCTGTTATGCCAAAAACAGAAAAAGACATGATACGGCCGCATAAGCGGCCGCCTATTCTTGTATGGCGGATCGATTCAAGCACCGGATTTTGATCGTTATAGCCGGGTTATCGTTATATCCGGTGTCGTTATATCCGGGTTTACTGTATAAGTCTATAAGAAACCTCACTTCTTGTCATCCTGGACGTGAGTGTCTAGATCAAACATCCCCCCCACTGAAGGTGCTACGCACAGCGTGGTGACCCTAGAATCGTAGGAAGGCATTGATGTTGTGTCTGAGTATATTGGGGTATGTCATATTCTATTATAAATAAAAGAGTTCGTGAGAATCGGCCACCGGGGAGATTGAGTAGCCCGATGACTGGGGCTTAGAGTCTCCACCATACAGATTCTTGGCACCGCCCTTTCCTAATCGGGTAACCTTTTCATCGCTTACTCTATAAACATAGTGCATACCTCGCACATAGATGCCTAAACCTGCTAGTATTTGTATTCACGGGAGCCCGATTACCCGGGAATTAGGGCGTGAGACGTCGGTGCATATCGTTCATGGCGCCGAGAGCCGAGAGTTAAAGAGTCAAACGCAATACAATTGACAGGTCCAGCACTCAGCAGAAAAACCTCCCCTGTTGGAAAGTCTACCAACTTTCACTTTGGCTTTATTTTTCTCTAGGAATTCTTTACTCTCTTACAGCTCTCTTAAAGACAGAGACCACATTGAGAGATAGAAGATTTCACGTTCAATCATCCCAGACGTGGGTGTCTGGATCAAACATCTACAATGTCTCTCATTAGCCGTGCGACGCACAGCGAGACGACAACTCCTTTTTACCTTTATAACCCCTCCCTAGCAGTGGCAATTGTTGCCGCTGTCTTGTACACCATTGCTTTTCTGTTGACGACTATCCAATGGATCTGGTACAGGGCCTGGGTCTGGAGCGTCATGGTGCTATCAGCAGTCAGTACGTGTAAATTTGGTCTGTCATTTACCCAAGCTAACTCACAACTCAGTGGAAGCAATCGGCTACATTGCCCGATGCGTCTCGGTCCAAAACACATTAGAGAGACCTGTTTACGTGCTTCAATTTTCACTCGTCATCCTTGCACCCGTCCTCATGGCAGCGTGTTGCTACATCATCTTCGGTCGTATCCTATTTCTTGTCGTTCCCCAAGAGGCACGCACGCTTCGACTATGCTGGGTGCCTCCCCGATTCATTACACCCATCTTCGTCGGGTGTGACGTTGTTGCTCTCCTACTCCAGCTTGGCGGTGCGGTGATGATCTCTGCAGTTGATGGCAAAGATAAGGATGCAAAAGACAAACTCAACACGGGAAAACACGTTGCGCAAGTAGGTGTCATTATCCAGCTGGTTGCCTTTGGTTTGTTCGCAGTCGCAGCTGTCCGTTTCAACTTCACATCCAAGCGCTTCAGCGGGTCTCTAGATGAGAGGTATGAGCATGTTGGAGAGAAGGAGTACATCATTGGCGGCATAGTCAAAGATAAGAACTGGCCCGCTCTGTTGCGAGTAGTCAACCTCACCACGATATTGATTCTTGTCAGTTCTTCACTTCCAGCTGCTGTTCACTCGCTGATTTGTACTAGGTTCGGTCTATCTATCGACTTGTGGAATTCACCGAAGGCACGAAGGGATATTTGAGCACAAATGAGTGGCCCTTGTATGTCTTTGATGCCCTGTGCATCTACCCCTGTGTTGCGCTTTTCGTCTACTGGCACCCAGGAAGATATTTGCCATACTTGGGCTTCCGACTGCCAAAGGGTGCGCACAGTAGCCGTGACTCGGAGATTCGGATGTTATAAGGATTGCGGGGTAGATCAGCCTTCGATCTATGTTCCGCGATCTTTGCATATTGTAGTGGAGCATGGGCGACTGCTGTGTTCTTTACATCAGCATAGTGTATCAATGTGAAAATGTGGCCGACGGTGGCTTGGTGGCTTGACTGGCTTGAACAATTCGCCCGGTTAAATTATAACTCGATTATTATTGACTATAGAAATAAATTAAAGTAATATAGACCGAAAGAAAAAAAAAATAGGGACAAATGCAAATCGATTTAAGCAAGAATGGTTGCACTCGGCCCTGTATAACTAGTCCAGTAAGTCAGATGTGTGGCTAGGGAACAGTCATAAATAAGTTGGATTACATGTTCCATAATCAGCCTTAAGCCCTGTATGCATGTTTTTCAAGGGCCTTATCAAATTAAATCCCTTCTAAATACCCATATGTTGTCCTGCATATCCTGCATACTTCCCCCTAGTATGTTTTGAAAGCGGTACCTGAACTACGTGGGTCCCCCGACCTGGATCCTTCCACCACCTTGGCCTCTTACGCAACCACACACTCTATCCAGACTCTCTCTGGACCTTCTCTGCAATTCCACTCACCATGATAGAAAGTCTATAGAGTGAACTGCGAGATCATTATGGAGGGACTATTCACTTTGCTCGCCCTGAGCATTGTGATGGCAATTACGTGAGCTACCTGTGGTTGGGAACCTAAGGTTCAATTGGATTCAAGCTAATGCTCCGAATTATTGGCAGATCTTTTGTCGTCGGCTCATTACCTCTGGCTTTTACACTGTCCCCCTCTCAACTCCGCTTAATATCGTCTATTGGTATGGGCGTTTTGGTGGGGACGTCGTTGATCGTCATTATCCCCGAGGGCATTGAAACTCTCTACAGTGCAAACTCCCTCACTCGCAAGCAACACAGCACACGGGCTACCTCTATCGAATGGCAGCACCAGGCCCCAGCCGTGGCAGCCACTTTTGGCCCCAATGGAGACAACGCCTCAAACCTATCGTCCGATGCCCCTGTTCCAGGTCTCCTTTCGGAAAGAGACCAACTCTCCGAGTCGCAAACACTTTATATCCGAAGCGAGGATTCGGCGGGTGAAACAACGGGCAAGGAAACAATTCACGGAGAGGAGGAGAGTTCGCCGCATGCATGGGTTGGAATCGCCCTCATCAGTGGTTTCATTTTAATGTACCTCGTCGATAAACTGCCCGAATTCGCAGCGCCGACTAAAAACGAACGGACCCCTTACCATATCTCTTTGGATAACCTTGGATCTGGGCTGCGACGGGGTTCTTCCCCCTCTCGCGAGGGTGGACTCCTTGATGCGAACCACGCGTCCAGACGTGGCCACAGCTTTGCGACCACGACCGGCCTAGTGATCCACGCCGCGGCGGACGGTATTGCTCTAGGCGCTTCAAGCTCGGATGCCGGGCTCAGTTTCATTATCTTCTTGGCGATCATGGTGCATAAGGCTCCGGCGTCTTTCGGGTTGACGTCCATCCTACTCAAGCAAGGGCTGTCAAGTCGCACCGCCAGGGCGCATTTGCTGGTCTTCAGTCTGGCAGCTCCTTTTGGTGCCTTGGCCACTTTCCTCTTTGTACAGATGATGGGATCTTCCAGTGCCGATGAGGCAGGCACTCACTGGCGCACTGGAATGCTACTGCTTTTCTCCGGGGGTACCTTTTTGTGAGTCTTCTTTTGCCGAGGATATTGATCTTTTTATTAATCTCTATAGGTATGTTGCGATGCACACAATGCAAGAAAACGGCCCGGGCTCATCCCCGCGCGAACTCCCTATCAACGGATATGGTGACCGAGACCAAAATGGGTCAGACAAGTCCATGAGAGACTTGATTGCATCTGTTTTGGGCATGATCTTGCCGCTATTCTTGCAGATCGGACATGCTCACTAGGCAAGTGCCTTGTGTATTCCTTGGATGCCATGATTCTTTTACATTTTCGCCGTTCAACTAGACTTTGGAGGGCTTATACCCATTGCAAGATACAGTTGGGAGATGGGTTGCTGTAGCTGAGACAATTTGAGATAAGGGAGGATATGTTTGAATAGATTTCCTTGTATAACTGCTGAGTGTTATATTGGTCATAATTGCATGGTATTTCACTATCTCACGATCACATCTACGTAGCGTCACTGTGCCCTATTTAAAGCCTGACAGGGTCCCCCCGACGTTTAAATTCCCCAGGGGGTAGTTTATCTTTTTCAGAATGTCAGTGATGACAAAATTCGTCAGTTTCGTCAGTCTGAATCATCCCGTTGTTCACAAGTCCCATGGTCCAATTCCGATAGCCGCATGCCAATCCAAAGCCGTGGGTCTATATTGTCCCAAGTGTGGTGAGAATCGTGAGCATCGAGAATACCAGGTTGCCTTTCATAGTTCACGATATTCAGCCCAGGAGATTAATGACTTGGTCTCAGGCCAAACCATCTTGAATTTAAGTTCTCGACGCCTCCCCGTTGCCTCTTTTGCCATGAACCCCCAAAAGAAAATATCAGGCAAATCAGAAGGCAAAAAAGATGCAGAGAAAAGAGTCGATCTGTGCCGGATGCATAAGATCCATATAATCCTCATCTGATTAGTCCCGGAGAGGCCATGCTTTGTCAGAATCACGACACCTCCGCTTCAATTGTCCCTTTTCCTCATCAGTTTTTTTTCATTGGAAGTTGACTTTGAACTTTGATTGAATGAAAAGAAACGGAAAAAAAGTAATATATTCGAAAAAAAAGAAAAAACGGGCGGCCTCGATACCTTCGGAGGATTATTGGTCTCACCTCCCTCCTTCCCTCGGCCGTTCGCCAGCCTCTCCTCATACCCCCGAATCTTAATACACCCGACTCCCAGTCTCACTCACAACTATATGCCGGCCGTGAACGCTAGGAGGCTCAGGGCGTCACATTAATAAATACAAACCGCACAAGTGGGAGGACCATACTCGACTGTGGCGGTCTCCCCCCTGTTCTGTCGCCATGAACTCCCATCGGGCATCATTCAGCGACATGGGAGATGGGTCAAATGCGCACACATCAGACCAGTTGGATTCTCATAACCAACTGTCCCACGATCCAGTCACTACTTTTGCCAGCACTCCATCCAGATCACTTAGCACCAAGACAACTGTCACTCCTTTACCCGCCAACCTACTTCCTTCAGCGCCCGCATCACCCCCGACACCCGCGCCCAGCCCTACCCCCCATCAACGACCACCAACTTGGCACTCGACCGACGATGAAGAAACCAGCTTTTTGTTAAACCTTCGCATTCACTTCAGTACTCTATCCAACGCCCGAAAACAGAAACTCCTGGAGGGCCTTCTGGATGTATGCGATAGTCAGCAGCTGAGCTTTGTGTCGAGTTACGTCGGTCCTCGATTGAGGAAAGACCCATTTCAGGTCTTCCCTAATGAGCTATGCTTAAGAGTGAGCCGTTCGGTCGGTTATTTTACTACTTCAGAACTAATGTTGAGTCTACTTAGGTTCTCTCCTTCATCGACGACCCGAAGACACTCGCCCGAGCTTCACAAGTATCACGGCGTTGGCGAGAACTACTAAACGACGACATCACTTGGAAAAACCTATGCGAGAAACATGCATACTCGGTGCGGCGGGTTTTGGAAGATGAAGGGGACCTCGTCGACCCTTTCGCCGCCCACCCCGTAGACTCGGCTTCCGGCGCACGCACCTTCAGCGGGCTACAGCGGCGCTTGACAGCGTCAAATGGCCACGCCACCGAGAGCGCACCGGACCTTCCCCGCACGCTTTCCGGAGAATGGTTGCCTCCAACAAGCTTCTCCCGAAGACGTCGAACCCGGCCGGTCTCATACCGTTCACAGTTCAAACAAAAATACATGGTTGAGTCGGCGTGGAACAAAGGTGGTCGCTGCACCCAACGCCATATCACCCCTGACCAGGGTGTGGTGACGAGTCTTCACCTCACTCCAAAGTACATTGTCGTCGCGCTGGATAATGCGAAGATCCACGTCTATGATACCAACGGTGACAACCAGAAGACGCTCCAAGGCCATGTGATGGGAGTATGGGCGATGGTCCCATGGGATGACATTTTGGTCAGCGGAGGCTGCGATCGCGAAGTTCGAGTATGGAACATGGCTACTGGGTAGGACATAACCCCCGGGACTTCCACAAACGAAAACTAATGCATGGTAGGGCGGGGATTCATCTCCTTCGAGGCCACACATCAACCGTCCGTTGCCTGAAGATGTCAGATCGGAACACAGCAATCTCAGGATCCAGAGACACCACCCTTCGTATATGGGATTTGGCCACTGGGACATGTCGCAACGTCCTCGTTGGGCATCAAGCCAGCGTTCGGTGTCTGGCCATTCATGGTGATCTAGTCGTGTCGGGTAGTTATGATACGACTGCGCGGATATGGAGCATCTCTCAAGGACGCTGTCTTCGCACCCTTTCAGGACATTTTAGTCAAATATATGCTATTGCCTTTGACGGCCGGCGGATCGCGACGGGAAGTTTGGATACTAGCGTCCGGATCTGGGACCCGCATTCTGGGCAGTGCCACGCAATTCTACAAGGCCATACGTCTTTGGTTGGTCAGCTACAGATGCGGGACGACACACTAGTCACAGGTGGCTCCGATGGCTCTGTCCGTGTTTGGTCGTTAACCAAGATGGCGCCGATTCATCGTCTTGCGGCCCACGATAACAGTGTCACCAGTCTTCAGTTTGATAAGACCCGCATTGTCAGTGGTGGCAGTGATGGCCGTGTCAAGGTTTGGAATCTACAGACTGGTCAGCTGTTGCGGGAGCTTTCTACTCCGGCCGAGGCGGTTTGGAGGGTTGCTTTTGAGGATGAAAAAGCAGTAATTATGGCGAGCCGGTCTAGCCGCACAGTTATGGAGGTACGTGCGATGATCCGTTTCATGATAATATGTTTTCTAATACATGTCGCAGGTTTGGTCTTTCTCTCCACCACCAGAAGACTACGATGACACAGCCATTGAGAGTGCTTTGAGCACTCCAGGCATCAGCTCGGTTGGTGACCGCGAGCTGGCCGTTCCAACGCGACGTCGAACCCTTTGCTCCGTCCCCCCACCATCAATTCCATTAGGCACTGATAGCGATGCACTTATGCCAGATGCACCCTCCTCCTAATCCCCTAGCATTTATTGGTCTGACCTGATCCAAATGTGTTTTGATATCCTGCCATCTTAACGATTACGCATATCCATTTATTTTGTCATATTTATCTCCCCATCCTTTTGAGCGCGGTGTGTTTTTGTCAACAGTGGGTGCTTTGCCTTCAGAATGAGCTGCCGGCGTTCCTCCCTAGGTGTTTCTAGAGCACCAAGCGGTTGCATATTTGGTGTTGCAAATCTGTTTGGTTACTGTGTCTTGGTTTCTTGTCCAGACTGGTGAAGTTTGCCATATTGGAGTTGTGTGTTGATCCTTTTTTTTTACCTGTCTTTATTTCATATCGGCCATTTCGGAGTATTTTGTGGTTGAGTACATGATACCTTTTTTTTGGACACACTTGGAATGTGATTTATATACCATCTATTTCGATGAAATCTATCTCGTTTACATTCCCAAATGTCGAAGGCGTCGTTTTTGACCTCCGCGGAACCTCACCTGCCCCGGGGCCGGCATGGTGAATGACTAAGCGGGTTACTCGGCCACGGGTTTGGGAAATGGAACTTAACGTCTCTTAAGACCTTAACACGAACATCGGTCTCTTAAATAAACGTGAAATTTGCTTTAGGAAAGTCATTCGCGCATCCTTTAAGATGCACATGTGCTTTGCTTGGACTAGGCAGCCGACTTGATCCAGTTACAACCGATGACACCCGGCCGTCCTGAACCTTGTGGAACCCAGATCGAATCCGACCTCTCTGTAACTCACAGCCCCCTTTGCAGTTTCTGTCGAAGTACCCGCAAGTCTTAGAGGTTTCTCAGACGACTGCCCGCGGGTGAACAATGGTCTATGAGGGCAAACCAAGTACCGGATGTTACCTGTGTCGCAAGCGGAAGATAAAGGTATGCCCCGGGCTTCAATCTTTGTTTTTTGATGTACCCCGCCAATGAACATGCGTTGTGTCTATACTATCTAGTCTTAATTGTATTTATTGAAAAGCCGAATGCTAAATATTCTCCCTTCAAGTGCGATGAAGCGCACCCGGAGTGCCGGAACTGCATTATCTATGGCCGGCCTTGTCCAGGGTACCGGCCGGATGCTGTCTTTCGCAACGAGACCAAGAAAGTCGAGCGGCTCGTGAAAAACAGTGCCAATATAAATGGCCACAGCAACACCGACAGCCAAGACAGCTCCTCAACCTCGGACTCATCAATATCAGCCGTCTCGCACCGCCAACGTGCAAGCTCACATGGGAAACACCATGGCAAGGCTACCCTGACGCTATACTCGCCCGCTGACTCCAGCTGGGAAGAGCGAGCACTGTGCTACTTCTTCGATCAGTACACCATCAAAGCCGATTCCGAGGACGGCGGACATCTCGAGTATCTTCCCCCGCTGTACGCGCGCGAGCTGGGTCGCCAGAGCGGCGAATCGCCGTCTTCATGTTTGCGCTGGGCGGTCGAGGCCACGGCACTAATGACCCTTGCTAATGCGAGGAATGCGCCACCTCTCATGAATAAGGCGCGGCAGGGCTATGGGCGGGCCTTGCGGGGGTTGCAGGAGGCGCTGGCGTCGCCAGCTAATGCAGTTAAAGATGAGACGTTTGCTTCGGTTGTTTTGCTTTCGCTGTATGAGGATATCTCGGGTGAGCGGAATGGGTTGTTCAGCTCGCATACGGCTGGGTTTGAGTTCTTGACGAATCTCCGTGGAAACACCCTAATGGATCATCCTCGTGGTCGAGATATGCTTACTTTCGCTTATGCCCACACGGTAGGTTTGACGTGATGTTTTGATATCGGGACCTGTAACTGAATATTGGTCTGAGACTGACTGTTGCTTAGTATGTTGAAATCCTCGCCCTGGGAGACAAACCCCGCTGCGATATCGATTTGGTCCTCGGCATGCTAGACATCAACAAACCAACCGAGCGCCTCATTCTCTCTGTATCGAAGCTCTGCCAGTTGTTCTTACACATGAGCTCTTCGCCAAACTACCCAGACCAAGCTACCGTTGAATCATGGATCACAGCCGGCCGCGAGTGTGATATCGAACTCTCCCAGTGGACACAGACCCTCCCAGACCGATGGCTCCCACTAGTTGTCTACTCACCACATGGTGAGCCTCTCCTAACCTACAAGCGCATCTCTAACGTCGTGGTCTGGAACTACTACCGCGCAGTGCGCGTGATGGTACAGCAGCTTCTCCTCGGCCTAAACTGCACACTCACCTCTATCAAAGCAGCCAACAAGCAATTCTCCAATCACCAAAATACCAGCAGTTCCGAAGCAGAGTCCGAGTCAGTTCTCGACGAGCTAGCTCTGAGAGCTATCATCCGCGAAATGACCGCAGACGTCTGTCGCAGCATTCCCTTCGCGCTGGCTGAAGTCGACTCCCTCGGCCGCCCGAATAAATCAGATAGCCCGTGGCAAATGCGCGCTGCGCAGGGTTACGGCTTGCTATGGCCCCTCTGGTATATTCTTTCCTCCGGCATGCCGACTCCAGCGCAGGCGGAGCTGATCCGCACTGTGTTGTCGCGTATCGGGTCTACACTGGGCATTAAATTGGCGTTGGTTCTTGCTCGTGAGGCGGAGCAGAGATTAGGATGATGCGCAAGAGGAATCTTGGTACTCAAACTTGATGCATGGGGTTTTGGAGTTCCCATTACCCGCGCTACGCTGTGAGAGGTGTGCCAATGTCACTCGGTATCAATGAGTTGATCAATCGGCTATTAGCAGGACCTGTTTTAAAAGGAACAAGCCCTTTTGGACAGTTCCAGTGGTGAAGGATATGTATGATATACGAAGGCATAACGGTGTCAGACCAGCACCCAGACCGTCTACAATACGGCTAGGTGGACTTTAAGTCAGTCTAAGAATATTTCAAAATCAATAAAAAACATTAGAACCCTCCGAGTACGTTCAGTCCATAGCAAACACGTTCTCTTCCGAATCCTCGTCATCCGATTCCGGCAGAAACCCTTTCTTAAGCAGTGCTGCCTTCATACGGCTATGATCCTCCGTGACGCGTGCGATGATCTCTGCAAGATCGTTGTAGGTATCAAGGGCATGGGCTTTATCCTTCATGCGGTACACTTCGGGGTCTTCAAAAGGCGAGTTGTACCAGATTGTGTTGAATGGAAGCCCTCCGTTCTTGAGCTTAGGAGGTGTGTCCTTGGTGGCATTCTCGCTGGCCTTTGTGGGACCGACCGCTGACTTGCGACGCTTAGCGGGTTGTTCTTCGTCTGTGTCTTTCGGAGTAGCGGGGGTCCCCTTTGAGACGGCATTTCCGCGCACACGTGAAGTTGCTTCTGCACGTTGAATTGTTGGGGAACGCAGTCCACGCTGAGAGGGTGTGTATTCGTCTGTTGAGAGGTCGGACGCTTGAAGCTCAGCGGCTATACAAGCCCGAACTAATGGGTCAGGGTCTTACTTTTTCCCGCAAAATCCAAAGAATTCTACCTGATATCAACACCAGTCCCATATTTACCGTGGCGACGGTATAGAATATCACCAGCATTGTCGTCAGTGTTATCCGTATCGCCGTGCTGCAGAATCACGGGATAGTTTGGTCTCGGGGACTCTTCTAGTGCATGTTACTTCGAATCAGCACCATCAGAGTTCTTTGCGTTTTCTTCGGCAACACCATGCGCAAATCTTATTTCCTCGGGAGCAGATGGCTCCGTCAGTCCATTGTTGGGGTTAGAACGAGTCGAGCGACGCATGGCTGTCGTCTGGAGTTGTAGGACGATGGGAGCTGAGATATGTCGAAATGTCTCGAGTCTGGTTTGGAAAGCTAGTCTCCTTTTTGAATAAACAACTGGGATGTGGAATCCCTTAAGTCATCACTGGCAGAGGAATGGCCGAAATTTCCTGTACTATCCAAAGCATTCAACACCTCTCGGCACAATTCCATCTCTAGGGTTTAGCTTTATATATACAAGAATAGCCGGCCGCGTTTGCGGCCTTATAATGTCGTTTCACTAGGTCTTTCTAACTGGTCTTTTGAGAGGTCTTTTTTTAGCTGCTCTTTCTAAATGTCCTTTTTTATGTATGTGAAAGCAGTAAAAAAGCCTACTTTGTGCAAGAGACTTTTCTATGTATAACCAGGGATTATTTATATATATATATATATATTGTTTTGTATCTACATAATTGATGGTAGAAGGAAGAGAGAGGCAGAACCCTGTATTCTCGCTACAACCCAAGGCTAGACAGCTTATAAAAGCTCAACAAATTGATACACACATGTAGATCTATTAATCCAGCTGTCAGCTTTGATAAGACGGTTTCATAATTTTATTGAAAAGCTTAATTTCACTGAAGCTTTCTGTGTACTATTTATGCATGAGCACTCCGGCTAAGTCGGCTTTCGTAGTATTAGGAGTATACTTCTGCAGTACCGAGCTAGCCGGATATCATTGACGTCATCGATATGGGATCATAGTGAATAGTTTGATTATCAGTTGATTTGCAAAAGAATACAAAATATCCAGAGATTGAGTATAGTCAAAGTAAATAACATTTATAATAGTGTAAAGAGTACGGATGTAGTAGGTTGGTCCGTTCAAAAGGTTCGGGAAGTGGGAAGGGGAAGTGCGGAGAGATAAGCCCAGTTCGGTCACTGACGACATTAGGTCTTCCAAGGTACAATCTTGGAACTTTGTACCTTTTTTATTCCGTACTCTTTTTGTTTTATTGATCTTACAACTCTCCCCTCTTTCAAGCATTTACAAAAATATACACCATGGCTACACAGGAACGCAAGCTTCCTCTTGGGAAGATCGAGCCCAACTCCCTCAAGTACTTCCTCAGCTGTGGCTTCGGCGGAATTATCGGTATGTCCAAGCTCCCTATCTCACAAGGCACACGCTAACAATATTATCCAGCTTGTGGTAAGTAACAGCTTTCCAATAAACAACTAACGCACTCAATTGACACCCAATTCCACACAGGACCAACCCACACAGCCGTAACACCCCTCGACCTCGTGAAATGCCGTCGCCAGGTTGATCCAAAGATCTACACCTCCAACGTACAAGCATGGCGAACAATTTTCTCCAAGGAAGGCCTGCGCGGTGTCTTCTTTGGCTGGTCCCCCACCTTCCTGGGATACTCCCTCCAGGGTGCCGGAAAGTACGGTCTGTACGAGTACTTCAAGCACTTGTATGGAAACCAGCTGTTCCCGGAATCCAACCGCACCCTGGTCTTCCTCGGTGCTAGTGCCTCTGCTGAGTTCTTTGCTGATATGGCCCTTTGTCCCATGGAGGCTATTAAGGTCCGCATGCAGACCACACTGCCGCCATATGCTTCTAGCCTGCGTGAGGGCTGGGGAAAGATCGTTGCCAAGGAGGGCTTTGGTGGTTTGTATAAGGGATTGTACCCTCTATGGGCCCGACAGATCCCTTATACCATGACCAAGTTTGCTACCTTTGAGGAGACGGTCAAGCTCATCTACCGCACTATGGGCAAACCCAAGGAGGAGTATGGCCAATTGACACAAACTGGTGTTAGCTTCTTGGGTGGTTACATTGCTGGAATTTTCTGTGCTATTGTTAGCCATCCGGCAGATGTCATGGTCAGCAAATTGAATGCTGATCGTAAAGGTGGGTTTCTTTCTTTCAGCTGCAGTCTTGATGTATGCTAACTGCCCGTTTGTAGCCGGCGAGGGTGCGATGACGGCTGTGTCCCGGATCTACGGGAACATTGGCTTCTCTGGCCTATGGAACGGTTTGCCTGTCCGTATTGTGATGTTGGGCACTTTGACCGGTTTCCAATGGCTCATGTAAGTGTTGGTTCCGTCCTGATTTGCGTGTACAGCGACACTAACGTTCTTCAGTTACGACTCTTTCAAGGTGTTCCTTGGTCTTCCCACCACTGGTGGTCACTAGATAGTCATGGTTCATAGGAGTTTCATTTTCTGGCGCAATTGTATATAGCAGGGAGTTAAATGGATAAATATTTGTTAAACAATATTGTGTAGACCGCCTTTAGTATCGGGGCAGAATAATGTTGGAGGTCATCGCATTGTTGCCGGCGAGCTTTAGCACTTCTCAATAGAGACACCATTCCAGTCAATCGACTCACCTTCGTTACCAACGACCCCTCCACGATCAAGGCTAGATATAATATATCACACTACGTGTCACCCGATCCTTTGCTCCCCCTCCTCCTTCTATATTTCACATCACCCCTTCGCATCGTGCTTCAAGTCAGCTCCAACCAAGAATCCCAACGAAATACCACTGTGTCCCCAATACAGTATCATAAACACCACTTCACACGCCAATTCACACACCAATACCGACCTCCTCCCTCTTCACCAAAATGGAAGCCTCCCGCCAACCCTCCTCCATCCCACCAGCCAACCCCCCAAGCGTGGAGATCGCCTATAAGCGCAAATGCATAGCGCTGAAGAAGCGTCTCGCAGAAGTCGAAGCTGAAAATGAAATCATGCGCACCCGCAACCGCCGCGGCTCCCAATACATCCAGAAAATGCGCCTGGAAACCTGCATGCTTCTCGAGCGTCTAACGAAGGTTACCGGCATGGCCGACGAGGCAAAGACCGGCGCCGCAAACCCGGAACTGCGTGCCCGCGCCGCGGCCATGATGAATCCCGCACAGGGGGGAGCCGGCGTGCTTCTGGAAGATGATACCGAGGGTAGCTCCGATGAGCAGCCGCGCACAGTACGTATCTATGCAATTCACCATCTTGTCCAGACTTTCTATTGCACACTTTATACTATATCCCCTTCTTTCTGGATTGATCTATTTGTCTGCTGGGTCCAAGCTAACGTGTTTTGTTTTTTATATTGTATAGCCCGAGGAACGTCCCCTACGCGTTAAGCGCTCCCGCAAGTCCAACGCCCCCGGCATTGATGGGCAGGATGATGATCTCCCCGCTCAAGATGGACATCCCGAATCTGCAGATCCGGCTGGTGCAGCCCTGCCCCGTCTCGCGCCGGCTCCGACGCAGGAGTCTCTTACCCATTCCTTCCGTGTGCAGACGGGTAGTGGTGGCTCTGCTGACCAGACTCCTGCTGCTGCTGAGGCTGGTCCTGAGTCTGGGACTACGCCGATGGATGTGGATAAGGAGGAGGTTAAGCAGGCTAAGGTTGAGTAGTCCCAGTAGCTGGGTTGTGCTTTTGCCATGTTTCTTTCTTTGCTTTTTTGGGCTTTGCAGAGTCGTGACTAAGACTATCTGCTCCAGGGCTGTTCTGCTCTTTTCATTTTGTTCGAGGGTTTTATGCATCAGGTTCGGATGCGGTGCTGGTCTACTTTCTAGGTTTCCATTTTTTGTTACTTTTGGTGGGCCTTGTTTGGGTCTTTCCACTACCTATCCTACGGTCTCCTGGCGTCTATGTCTGATATGAAATTTATCTGAGAAATCTCATGCTAAAAGCATGGTTGAAGTAACTGGCTCCTCCCTGTATCTTTTTGATGCCGCTCCTCTAGACTCCGTTATCGAAGGTTATACATGAAAAAGTCATTCTCACAAACTAGAACGTTTTTACCCCCCATGCTCTAGAAGAGAGAGAAGGTTGATGATAATGGAAAAGGTGGGTTTCTATGTTTTCGGGGAGCTATGAGTTTCGCGCCACAGCTCAATGGGGCTCTCTTTGATTCTAGCGTCTATTTGATAGTTGGTAAGCTTTATAGCACTATGTTGGGTTGGTAGGATGTACGGACTACGTATACTTGATTTCGTTTGAAAGAAAGCGTCTGCAGAGTCATTCCGCAAGGAAGACTGCATCAGGTCAGGGGCATTTTGATTTGATCTACACCATCTGTGTAGATTCCCAACGCTGTTTCTCCAAGAAAGAACCCACGCCAACTCCAATACCAGTAAAAAAAAGACAGCATACATTGGAAACAAGAACGGGATATGATTATCTGGGTATGAATGTCTTCTGTCATGTACAGGTGAAGACATGACGAGTTTGGAAAGATGATACAATAGCAGGGGTGGTGGTCACATAGGAAGATTAGACGCGGTGGGTGAGTTCGAAATCCCTATGCGGTTGGAATGTCATCGGGCGAGTTCTGTTAGGTGTTGGCCTCTGGCATGCTGTGCTCGTTGTGTGATTGACAATGTAGAATCGGGATAGATTGCATAGCAAAGCACATAAGTAGTATGCTGGTAATACATAGTATGAAGGACTAGTATTCGCAGCACAATTAAGTAGTCGAGACGAGCGTGGACTGGTTGAGTACATTTTGTCACTCTTAGTCCACTCCAGCGTACAGATCGACAACAATGTTGATTCCAGCCACGAGAATCTCTGCGGCGATCAAGACAATGACTGATATTTATTAGATAGGTCGTTTTTAGAAATCATAACTGCGGGGAAACTTACCAATCCACTCAAGATACTCGCCATGGCGATGTGTCAATTGATCCTTTAGAACTGCAAGGAGATCCGCAATGACATCCAACCGTTCCGTCAGCAGACCGACGCGTTGATCCATCTCCAGGTAGCTTCGGACTGCCTGGTAGACAGGTTCCAACTGCGGCTCTGCCCAGAAGAGTTCCGGGCTATCGAGGACAGATCCTTGCAAGTGAATATTGATGCGGAGAATGAAGAGCTCTCCAATCTGCATATTGATTTGCCGACGAGTGAGATTGACGCTACCAGTTTGCGCAATCTGGGCAGGTAGCGGTGCAGTATCGGTGATTGTTTCTGACACAAGATCTTCGAAAAGCGAGGTCTTGACCGATTGAGCCAGAGCATGAGAGATCGCCAGCTTGACCATGTTGTTGCGCGGATCGCGAAGAGAGATGAAGTCGTTGTAGATCCTGGCCTGGTACTCGCGCGCATAGTAGAAATTGAAGTTCTCAATCTGCGTGTCATCGGGACTCAATATGGAAGTCGCAAATTTGGAAATATCGGACAAGAATCTTGATTCTTGCGCGGGCGTCATGCCCCATATTACGACTGTTCCGTAGTCGAAGAGGAATACCTCGGGTGTGTGGATTGTGATGTCAATATCAGGTGTGTCTTTGACGACTACTTGTTCGTTATCATTTGAGTGACTGCGCTCATCGTGCAGATCAATCAAGTCCTCTCTTCTGGTCTTCTTATTGTCTTCAACCTCCACCGCACTATCCGAGTATCTCCTTTCACTGGGTCGCCTCTCATGGTGTCCATTGCCATTGGGATCTTGAAATAATCGTGCGTTCTGCTTTTCCTCGTACTGGTAATCAAAGGGAGAGTAGACACATTCATCGTAGAGTTTGGGGTTGGCTCCGCGAGTCTTGCTCCGCGACTTGAGGAACTTGATAACGCCCTCGAGTCGATACGAATTGGCTGTGCAATAAGCTGTCACTCGAGGTATGCGATCGCGGTCAGCTTTGCCCAGTCGTGCAGCATGGCTTCGTGCGGCAGGGTCCTTGATGCGAGTGATTTGTGAATAGACATCCCGAGGGAAATCTCCATCGGACCCCTCTTCCTCTTCCGTGACGGGGTCCGGCAGCAGTTTTAGTTTCTGCGCTTTCTTGGTTGTTCGCTGTGGTCCAATCTTAGATGCTGCATGTGGTGCATTCGATATGGGGTTGAAGGGAGCCCCATGGCTATTGCGACGACGAAGCTTGCTGTTCAATGCTGAGAGCATGGGCTGGCTGCCAGGACGGGGCTGGCCTCCCTGAGCGTTGACATTCTGCACAGGAGGTGAACCTGCTTGCAAGGGCCGGAATGTAGGATCGGATGTAGAGGCTGTGCTGCCATAGGTGCTGATTTGTGTGAGCGGATTGAAGGATACCGACCGCGGCGCCCGGTTTGCCCGTGGTGACGTATTGGAGGCCGAGTTCTGATGCTGCGGCAGCAGAGGAGAATTCTCTGCGTCAGGAGCCATGACAAAAGGAATGAAAGGTGTAGAGTTAGACGACAAACGCCATTGGCGAATGGGACTGGAGGTAGAGAAAGCAACGAGTGATGTGAAAAAAAGTCGAGGACGCTGGCAAGCTTCCAAGCTTTCGCAGATGCCCACCTTAATAATCTGAGAATCTGTCCGGGTCCGGTCCTTGGCGCTTTTGTATCATTTCGGTTTTGACTCTTTATTTTCTTTTATATTGAGGGTTTCTTATTTATTATATACTTGTTTTTGAATGAATTTATTGCCAGACATTATTGGGCATAATTGACTGAATGCTATATACATAACTCCCCCAAAGTTGAATTGCAGACCAGGTTCTACTCCCGCCGAACACCATGCAACCCGAGTAACACTTGGACAAAAATCCTTTTTTTTTTTCAATGACCGATCACAAAATCGCTGCAGTAAGACGCGGGGTTGGTTGCATGTCCAGTCGACACCGACTTTCGATTTGCGCCAATGGGGTATCGAAACCCCCCAAGAGGAACATCGGTCGATGCAAGTGAGCATGTCCTCCGTTGACAACTGGCAGGTCGTAGATGTGACTTCCAGCTATATTTGAAGATATGTGACACTGAACAAAATTCGCTTTTTTAATGGCCGTACAACGTTTTCCATTTCACCCACGAACAAATCCAGAAGGACCACCGGCCTTCTGTCGGAGCCCATTGCCCTTGGCTGTGGTACGGGTCTTCTGAAGCATGCTACTCTTGAGGTTTCGTCCGGCCTTGGAAATCTTAGGGGCCAGCACAGGCTTTGAGGACTTCTTTGAGGATGGCGCATCCAGCACCCGGATAGAGACATCCCCCATGTTGATATCTTTGGGAAGCTTGTCCTGCTTATCCAGGAATCGCAACTTATTTGACTTCTTCGGCATGGCGAATTGATCTTCAGCTGGGGGTGTGGGAGGGCGAATGGCGAACTCGGCGTTCAAAATGTCATCGGGAAGCAAAGCAGGAAGAGCGGCTCGTCGTGCATCTTGGGTAGTTGTACCTTGGATAGTAGCCGTGCTCTCGGAAAGCATGTCATCAGTAGGAGCCTCCTTGGGCTTGACAATTGATTTGGCTTGCAACTTGCGACGCTCATCGAGTTTCCGTCGCTTCTCTCTCTTCACTTGCTCTTCTCTGTAAAAACCATCAGTCAAAATTGAATTTACGAAAAGTGAAAAATCACACGTACAATTGCTTGGCTGCTTCTTGCTTCTTAGCCTGCTCCTTCATTTTCAATAGCTGGGCAGAGTTATCAATGGTCTCTGGCGCATCATCGTCACTATCATCTTCGTCGTCGTCATCCTGGGTTGGTGTTTCCGAGATTTCTTCCGGTTGTGTTTCGACTGGTTCGGGCTCTTCGCTATCGAATCGAATCTTCTTGCCCGCAGGTGCTTTATCCCCAATTACGCTGGATTTCTCTGCTGGGGTAGGTTTTGTAGCATCTTCATCGGTCCCAGTAGCCTTCGGGTCGCTTCTTCTTCTCCGCTTAGTCTGCTGATCCTCGTTCTTGCTAGCGCTTGCTGAGTGTGCCTTGCGCTTTCCACTCGCAATTCCAGGCGCAACGTCTCGTCGGGTAGCTGTGGCCATCTTAGAATTGGTGGCAGAGGTACCAGCGGATTGGAACTCTTGTTCTTCGGGTTGTCGCGTAAATAAACCCTTGGCAGCAGTGACCAAGTGAGCAAACATAGATTGAAAGGGAAATTGGGAAATAAAGCAATAAACCCAAATGGGGGAAACGGTTCCTCGTGTGTTGGTCAAGAGGTGAAGCAAAATTAAAAAATCTCTCGGCGATCAGGATTTCCCGAGAGCGGAGACGATAAGCAACTCTCCGCTATCACTTCACTGCATCTACATCTCTACTTCACTTTCACTTGGTGAGAAAGTAGCGTCTATCTTATTTTAAATTAATTAATTTCTCTTTGTCTGGTATTGAGGATCAAATTTATACCTTGTGAAATATTCCCTAGCTCTAAATACCGGTGCAAACAATAAATATGTCCTACAAGGTTAGCAATATATAAAAGCTGTGCCGGTCTCCAATACGAGCATTGAAGTCAAATCTAAAGTATACAAAAAAAGTCAGCGGCATTTGTGCCCTTGATTTGTCTTTATAGTTGGTCTGTTTAGATGTCTTTTTAGATGTATGTGAAAGTGGTAAAAAAAAGCATACATTGTGCAAATATAACCTATGATTACAACATGAGACACAATTTGTCTAGTATTTCCTGCTGCAATTTGAATGATAGAGCCACTGATCATT